TGTTGAGTCTCCATCTGTTGACATTTTTGTCATATTGGCTTCATCCTTATACAGTCAGTTCCACTATAACATGAAATAATGTGTTCCAGAAACCTCTGCTAGGAAATATCATGCCGTGCAAATCAATTTCATGAGAAAAGTGAGAGGTGGGCACAGCCCTCAGATACATCAGAGACACAGAGAAAAAGGGGAGGGAGGAGGAAGAACCTAGTAGGGATAGTAGGAGAGTCTCCAGTATATGAGGTGGGTAGGAAATACATAAATACTGCATAAGGGTGTGACGCTCTCAGAGAAGCCTGCAGTTTGCCTAAGGAGGCGAGTGTTGAAAGGCTGAGCAGGGGGACTGTGAAATAGGACAAGGGCTACCTGAGCTCGGATGGAAAGTTGTAATACTAGTGGGTGGTGATGGTTCCCAGCACACACCAGACAGAGGTGGGAGAAGGAAGAGCATTGCTCATTTCTCCGTGGCTTGAGTCTTCTGCATTGTCTGGTGTTTCTCATGGCTGAAATCATGTGAAAAATAATTTGAAGATGTCTGTCATCAGCCCCCGAGTTAGTAGTTACTTCTCCCTCTGTTGTAAGATACCTGATAGAAACAGGTAAGTAAGCCTGGCTTTTGTTCCTAGTTTCAGAGGTTCTGTTCACGCACCTTTACCCACTGGGCCATCTCGCCTGCCCAGAACTTTAGAATTAATTTCTAATTATTTATTAAGTGACTAACTGGGCTCCTTTTTAAAAATTGGGATTGCATTGACTCTGTAATAGAAAATAAGAAATTCTTTGTGTTCAAATTGTTCCCTAATCAGCACTGACCCAGATTTAGCAGGCATTGTAAATGGCATTGATTTCATGTGGATTTAAATATTACCCCCACCCCAGCCTGAACTAGTTGAAAATAAGTTGCAGTGATGTTTATATCTCACTTCTAAATAATTAAGAAGTAATTATTAATTACTTACTTCCTCCGAGTAAGGCGGTTTTCCTGTATAACCACAATGTCATTTCCATTCCCAGGGTAATTACCACTGATTCATCAATTAGCTGTTTAAAAGACATTGCTTGTTCCTAATAAAGCTGTATTGTTCCCATTTGTTTTGGTTTTATTGCCCTTCCTCTCTTGTCCCAGGCACTGAGCTGTGTTGGGATGTGAAAAAAAAAATCAAGCCAAAGTCCTCCTGTCCGGCCTTTCAGAGTCTACAGATTAGCAGAGAGACCAGCATCTAAGGCATAATAGTCTAGAGGAGCAATATGAGTGGCAGCTTGTTTTTCTTTCCTTCAAGGAGCATATCAGCAGAAATGAGCTCTGCCCAGAGCGGTGTTCCGAACCTCTGCTATGTCCACAATCCACTTAGCTGCTTCTGATGTACCTTGCTCCTAACCCAGAAGGGCTTGCCTTCCTCTAAAAGCAAAGGATGCAGCAGGCAGGATGTCCTCCTCCCCTCCTTGCTTTGGCCAGGCACAGAGCTGCAGTGGAGAGGATCTTGAAAAACCAGGCTGAAGAATGGCGACATTATTCTTTAGGGCAGCTGTATTAAGTCGAATATGGCCTTGCTCATGAATACCGGGCATCCAATAGCTGTGGTCTAATAAAGATAGGATCCATTCCTTTTTCACGTATGTCTTAGCTTGCCAAAGATTAAAGAATCAGCTCAGATCTATGGAGCTACCCAGGGACCTGGGTTCATGTCGGTTTATAGCTTTGTTGTTCCTCATATCATGACATCACCCGCATCCCATGCTAGGAAGCATGATAGAGGAAAGGACAGCGTGTTCCTTCCCTTTCGGGCACATTTTGGAAGCTATGCGTCTCACTTCTGTCTGTATCCCACACCTATGTGCAGGAAGGGCTGAGAAACAGTCTTCATTGGGAGTCCTTGTACCGAGCTAAAAATAGCAGGGTTTGAGAATAGATATGGAGGGGCAGCTTGCAGTACCTGTTATACCAGCGTGCCTAAAAGCACCGAAGGGACTTTCAATAAAATTAGTCCCTGAAAATGGTCCATAAAAATGCAATTATTGCGAGGCATATTGATTCATGCCTGTAATTCTAGTCCTTGGACTGAGGAAGAGAATTGGGCTACGCAGCGAGTTCCTGGTCAGTTTAAGCTAGAGTGTGAGTCCCTGTATCAAAATCCCACCAAACAGACAACAGCAAATAAAGCCCAGATGTATTGTCAGTGATTTTGGAAAACATTAAGCACTATCGATCTTTTTGCTCAGTGAAGGTCTATAATAATAATAAAAAAATACATGGTGGTCTTTGTTCAACTTAAAAAATCTGGCCATAAAAGTGTTTCACACCATACTTTATTTTTCTTTGAGAAAACATGTTCACATTAGCTTTGGGATTCCCAAAGGTTCCTCAGTGAAACAACAGGGGTGTGTGGGAATTGTGTCAGTCGAGACTCGGACAGAAAAAGAGCAGCTACGTCATGTATAGAAGGATCTTATGTAATGCGGGGGCGAATTTGCCAGTCTGTGGAGTTTAGTATCTGATGACATGGACGTGAAGGAGGACAGTGATCTTGGGAAGAAGGAGGCAGATAGGACTCATGGGAGTGGATGGGGGCCTAGCCCAGCCTGTTACTGCTCTCACTATGTAGCCCTGACTGGCCTGGAATTTAACCTTATACTCAGAGATCTGCCTGCCAAGTGCTAAGATTAAAGGCGTAGGCTACCATGTTTGGCCAGTGTTGGTGATGTGGGTATCCTATAAGAGAAGTTGATATCTGGGACTGGAGAGATGGCTCAGCAGTTAAGAGCACTGACTGCCCTTACAGAGGACCCGGGGTTCAATTCCCAGCCATATGGTGGCTCACAACCATCTATAATGCCGGATTGTGGCATAAAGCATCTAATGCATTTAGACCGCTTATACAACAAATAAATAAATCTTAAAGAAATAGAAGTTGATGTTGTTTGTGGAATAGAAAACATACCTACCTTCCAAGCTCAGGTATCTGTAGCATCAGCAGGCCTGGCTGCTGTTCCCACCTTAGGAGGTGAGGATGAGCAGCCCTGCAGGTAGACAGCTCAATGCCCCAGCACCAACCTTCCAGTGTGTCCATCACATCCACCTTCAGCTGTCAACTGGAAACAGGTTTAGTGGAAGTCTGAGCCACGTAGTTCAGCCTGCTCAGGTAAGAGCCTTCAGAAGCCAGCGCAGGCACTTTCCACATGGCAGCGATAGAATTGTTCCAGTCATGCTAGCTGTCATGGCTTTCAATGGGCACTAACCTAACTGGGCATCATAGTTTAGTAGATAAAGTGCCACGCCCAAATGATAGAAGCGATATGTGGACACATCATTCTTATTACCATAGGTGAACAAAACATGAGCAAAAGACATACTGGTTGCTTTTATAAAATTTGAAAAGGGCCAAGCTGATTCAGAGCCGTAGTTACCTGTAAGAGGATGGATGTGCATGGAGGGCTCTCCAGGGGTGCTCTGATGCGGATGCTTGACCTTCCTTTCCTGCCCGAGCAGGAATGCTCTCTTTGGGAAAACTTAATGTGTTGTGTAATTTATACTTAATACTAGGCGTCAGTGCAAAGTTTAAGTTAAGTTTCCTCAAGTTATAAGTAGTTATGGGTTGAGGAATATAAACTTTTTATTAGGTGAACCCCATAAAGAGTAGGGTAGAGTCTAGGGATGTAGCTCAGCTGTGTCTGATATGCACAAGACCCTAGGTTGGGTCCCTTAGGTTTAAGATGGATGTTCGTACATAATAAGGGAGAGAATACAGGGATATGGGGAAGCTTGATGCTTAGGAAACTTACCTTTACTCTCAAACTTAACACTCCCTATGAACATGTTTTCTTGTCTTTAACCCAATTAACAGAATGTCATTTTAACCTTTTTCTGTTTTATGGAATTTTAATTCCCTTCTTTTCATGCTTTTTTTGTTTTTAGTGAATTCATTAGTTGGATATAATTGTGATTCTTTTCTCCAAAATTTATTATTTGAAAGTGCCTTGGGCTATTGAGTGTGGGACTGGGTGATCCCCTGTGCTGTCTGCAGTGGCTTGCAACTAGATTGTGTTCTCTGATGATCCAAACAATTATCTGAAAGTGGTGGTGGCTAAGAGAGTTGATGGTGTTTTTAAAGCCTAGAAAACTTGGACTTGGAGTGCTAATCAGTTTGTTCAAAAATGAAATCTTACAAGTTACTTATTCTTTGACTTTGGGAAGTTTTGAATATGCAAAAACAGGACAGATGATTCTACGTTGTTCTCTCTGCCTGTAGCTTACGTGGCTGATTGTGCAGTGTTCATACTCCCTCTTTTGGAGGATGATTGTTGCTGGATTCTACCTTCCTGCCTTCTGTCATAGCAATCATCCAACGGAGCTGTAACTGCTGGTCCTTTTCTCTGTCACCTTTTAACCATAGTTATGAGTGACAGAGCCCCAAAATTCCTGAAGAGAAGACTCGATAGTTGATCTTGAAGATCACATCTGGGAAGAGATGAGAAGGAGGTGGTATATGCTACACTGCTCAGAGAAGTAGGAAAAGATCCAGAATTGTATCTTATCAGGGAAATTGGGAGAAAGAGAGGCGTTTTGCGGAATTAGCAAACATCACAAGGTGGTCAGTGAGAATTGAGGGTTTTTTCGGGTTGCGGTCAGATATTAGTGGCTATAGATTGTAAGATTAAAAACAATATCTCAAGAGATCAAGGTAAGAATATCGGATGGAGAAATGGGAGCATCAAGTTAAATAAGTAAAATCTCCCTATACTTAGAGCCATAAGAGGAAGGTTTGGGAAGGATACTGACTTTCAGGAGAAGATGGGGTCCCTCCATTGTCCCGTCCTGGCCCCCTGGTGTAATTCATCAGGACGTGGATGAGATGAGCCTCCTGGTTCTGGACCCGTCTGGTCAAACAGCGCATTTCCGAGAAGCAGTGTGTGCTGCGCTGTGCTGCGCTGTGCTGGGCTGTGCTGTGCTCTTTCGCGGAGTGATTTTTGTTTGTTTTAACCTGACCCCCCTGTTTCTGCAGGAAACATGGTAGAATGGTGCTTACCACAAGACATTGACCTTGAAGGTGTCGAGTTCAAGTCTATGGCCAGTGGGTCCCATAAAGTTCAGTCTGATTTCATGTGAGTACCTCTGAACCCATCTTGCTCGGATTGACCCCTCCTCTTTCACGCTCCCCAGAGCATGTTATCACGAGGTGTCTTCAGGCAGTGTATGTGTGTATTCTGTGTTTATCTGGTTTCCCAGCAAACAGGGTTTCATCTCTCAAGCTTGCAATGGGTCCTGACGCTCCCAAGCCGACAGCACCTACAGTAGAGGTTCTGCTATTACTGCATGATTATGTAGCCCCTGTGGAGGTTTTTGGTTTCAGTGTAAGAGAGGAGTTTCAGTTTAGTGTGGGTTAACCTAAGACATCTGTGTCATAAACTTGGAGTACTAGCTTTAAGCGGGCCAGTTTTTAGTGCTGTGCAAGCGGCACATTGTGAATTTTGCGAGAAGCCAATGGATATGCTTTAAGGATAATTTGTAGCTTTAATCTCTGCATTGGACTGGAACCATGGCTGATCCAAGCATGTAAAGGGAAGGAAATAAAGCGTCGGCCTCACTGGAGCTGTCAGAAGCCAAGGAACTGAGTGCGTCAGGGTTTGTTCTGAGAAAACAGACTGCGTTCCAAAGGCGCCTGGAGGTCAGCGTCGGTCCTGGGTCTCCCCTTGAAGCTGTTAGTTGTGCCAGAGAGGATACCAGGGTCTGTGACTGTGAGCATTTGAGCCGCACGCCTGTAGAGACCACATGCTATCGCTAACCCTTGACTCTGGGATGGCAAGTTCTAGAGTCTTAGAGCCTTGACTGCTCTCTGGGAGACTGAATGACTTCTTTTATGGCCAAACTTTGTTATTTGGAGCTCTGAACGTAGCTGTTTGCACCAAGATTGCATTACAAAGGAGAAAAGCAAAAAGTATGTCCTTTTCCTAAGCTGGAGCCACAGTACATATTTGGTCTATTTCAGCTATTTTCGAAAGGGGCCCTTCTTTGGCCTGGCCTGCTTTGCCAACATGCCCGTGGAGAGCGAGCTGGAGCGTGGTGCACGGATGAAGTCTGTGGGTATCCTCTCTCCATCCTACACCCTGCTGTACCGCTATATGCACTTCCTGGAGAACCAGGTTCGGTAAGTGGCTTCTGTATGTGGCTTTTATATGTTGTGGGAAAGAGCAGGATCAGCAAGCTGGAGCCTGTGCATTGAGTCCCTGGACGCGGAGGCCAGGACCACAGGTGTCTTTCCTATAGCATCTGTGGCCCTGGGCCAAGCCTCAGTTGATGCTCCTTTCTTTCTTACAGCAAATTATTGTAAAATAATTCCTTATCGTAAAACGAAAGCTGGGGAAGATACTTGCTTTCAGTTTTTATTAATACTCTCATCAATTTTAATGACATTGTTTTAATCAGACATGAATGTGATCTTTGTTTATACTCAGCTGCTATACTTACCGTCTTCCCAGGTAGGCAGGTAGAACATAAATATAAAGTGTTTTATGTCAAATCACTTAATATTTGGAGTAATAAAAGAATATATAGCAGCAGAAGAAAAATTATTACTTTCTCTTTATATATACATACACACACACACACACACACACACACACACATATATATATATATATATATTGTATAATGCAGATAACCTAATTGAACATCAAACAATGCTGGAGAATGTTATCTCTAATCTACTCTTGGAAGCACTGTTAAAATTTTAATCTCTTTTCTTATATGTATATTTGTGCTTTGATAAAATATGCTTGACAAGTGGGCAGAGTGACCCAGGAAATAAAGGCTTTCAGTTTACATTACTAGCAACATACCAAGACCTTATTTGTCACGCATACAACATATATTAGTGTGTGTATGTATAGTGTGTGTATGTGTGTGTGTACTTAGCATAGATACTATAAACTATTTCATTTTATGCATTATTTACTCATTCATTCATTTACTCATTTTGAGTTAGAATCCTGATTCGTAGCCCAGACTGGCTATTTAATTTGCAGTCGTATAGAATCCAGGCTTTTTATGTGATTAATGGCTTATAAACTGCAGTCCTCATGATTGCGCAGCTGTTGCTCTTAACCACTGAGACACCTCTACAGCTCCCCTGGGTCATGGTTTCAGTGGATGGGATCTAAGCTAGTCCATCCTTCTTTCTTTCGTTTTTATGTATCTCACATTTTATCCTTAGAGTCTGACTCTTCCCCCTGCCCTTCCCCGCATCTGCCCGAGTACTTTGGAGTGAGCAAGACTCTCAAATGCTTTTTAGTACAAAGAAGTTGGTTTTCCCAGCCTCACGAGATCTAAATCAGTAGATCAGAGATGATCAGCTTTCCTGAACAGCAGTTAAAAAAAAAAATCACTCTCTTCTTCAGCTCTTAAGCCAATGGTTTTTGTTTCTATAGCAACTCATTTTCTGGGTACCAACTTCTGCTTTAGCTAAAATAGAAGCTAAGTTACTGTAACAGAAAAGAGACCCCAACATATAGCTGTTCTAACAAGTCGGAAGCCCACCTTTCTAGCACAGCTTTCCCAGACCAGATGGAGGGAAGGGTCTCAGCGTGGATGGCGCCTGGAATGCGGTCCTTCTGTCTCACCTGTCTTCTAGCATGATGGTGGAAAGTGACTCATTGCTATCCTGTGACATTTCAACCAGGAAGCAGAGAGACTGATGCAAAAATCTCAACTTGAACACATCACTTCTGTGCACATTCCATAGGCTAGTTGTTGGCTGCTGGCCAAACCCAGCTGTAGGAAGTCTGAGGACATGTCGTTCCCGAAAGGGTGAAGTCATCTAAAATGTGGAGGCTCTGTATGCTGGAGGAAGAAGTCTCTGCCAGTGCCATAAACTGTAGACTTTCCTCAGTTACCATAGCCACCCAACAGCCCTATTACCACTGTTAGTTCCGCATGTCTTTAAAAATTGATCCGTTCGCATGATTGCAGATATAGATCACACAAGAGAAAGCATGTGCCATGTTTGTATTTTCCCTTCTCCTTCAGCAGTAGAGGAGCTCTCATGTGGGCACACTGGAGGCTTCCCCATCGTTTTCCCTTGCTGATTCAGGAAGACTAGAACAGAGACGAGGCTTTGATAACAGGGCACAAGGAAAGAGGAGTCAGGTCTAGATGGGACAGTAACTTCTGTGTAGGTTAACCAGACTTCGTTTCTGCACTGCCTAATCTTCATTTAAATTGACTCTGACTTCCGATGTCCCAGGCTTGCTTACTAATATTTTAGCTATAGTTATTACCTATCTGAATTCAATCACCACAACCCATGTAAGAGAAAAAGCCCAGATGTGGTGGGGCATGTTTGCAATTCCAGCACTGAGGAGGTGGAGAGGTGGATCCCTAGGGCTCACTGGCCAGCCATCCTAGTCTACCAGGCAAATTCTGGGCTAGTGAGAGACCTTGGCTGAAAAAAAAAAAAAAAGAGTCCTCAGAAACTATACCTAAGGTTGACCTCTGATCTCTACTTATACTATTGAACACACGGTCTGGGTAGCTTCACAGCGTGGCAGAACAGGTAACTCCTGATTTATTTAACCATTCCATTGTATTGAGCTTTAAGATGGCTTATTTTTTGCACACGAATTTCCTAGAAATGGAGTCGTTGGGTCAGAGGATGGACACAGTGTGCAGTTTGACACCCCTTCAGAACAGGTTTCCCCCTGAACCAGCAGTGAATGGGAATGCCTGATGGTTCTGTATCTATAGAGCCCACTGACAGACTGGTTCAGACAACAAAGTGAGGTCGCTGGCAGAGCATCTCTGAGACTCGGTGGATGAATTAGTGCGGAGTACGGTAGGGGACAGCAAGGGTCTCTGTCCTGAGCATCTGCACAGCATGTGCCCCATCAGTGCAGTGGGCTGTGGGCCTAAAGAGAACCCAGCCTGGCTGCTCCTGCAGGGAAATCCTTGCTCTGTCATTTGTCCCCGCCATTGACAGGACTGTCACACAGTATCCATGGGTGGCATGGTATGTGCTTCAGTGTGGTGGTTTTTAAATTTACCTGCCCTTATTGAACATCATCGTCTCCAGCTTTGAAAAGCCACCTTGTCTTCTGGCACTCTGTGGCTCTAGTACCTTTGGTGTTGTGGTTTGTTATCTATTACAAAACCTACAGTGATGTTTAAACTCTGAGGCTTCCATACAACGGTTGGATAGCACTTCTCTCTGGATTTCCGTTTATGCCTGGGCCTCTGTGTTCCCTTCTCCATTGTCTGTTACTGCCATGTTAAGGCAGTGATACCTTAGGCTGTCGAGGGCAGAGTCCTGATTAGCTGTTTTCGTTTCACATCTAATGTTTATTTTTGTATGGAGGAGTGAGATCAGGCTTGATGAAAAGGATTTTACCTGCTGAGCCATCTCCATGGCCTTGCCTTTAGCTTCCTGTCTAGAAGCCTCACAGTGCTGACTTTTTCTGGTGGCTCTTGGTCCAGCTACAGCGCTGACTGCTGTCAGAGTAAAGACCAGCAACTGAGTAGCAAATCAGCAAACAAAATGAAGGTGCCTTATTTAAATTACTGTGGATAAGTTACCTCTTTGAAGACTGAGTATATAGATTTTTCGTGGGCTGTTAAGGGAAAATGGATCTTAACTCAAACACATTTGAACTTCACACATTTGAACACATTCCAGCTGGCACCCCGCTGCCTTTTCAGAATGACTAGCCAGACCTTAGCCACCAAGGATTTACCGTCCAGCCCAGGAACGTGTCTGTGAGTTACAGCAGTTGCTGTGAGTGCCCTCATGCTGGTTCATCGCTGCTCGAACATGGCCGCCTCCCGAAGCGAAGCTTTTCGGACCCCGAAAATTAGAGCGAGGTGCTTATTTTTAGTAATTATTTTCTAAACTTTTCTTTGGGAGGAGGCAAGGGCCCATTGTTTAATTTAGGCTAACCTTGAAGTTATGATTTGCCTGCTCAGCCTGTTGTTGGATTATAGGTATACACTGTCACAAACAGCTAATAACACACACACACACACACACACACACACACACACACACACACTTTTTTTTGTTTGTTTGAGACAGGGTTTCTTTGTGTAACAGCTTTGGCTGTCTGGGAATTCCCTTTATAGACCAGGCTGGCCTGGAACTCACAGAGATCCTCCTGCCTTTGCCTCCTGAGTGCTGTAATCAGAGGCGTGCGCCACCATGCCCAGCAGCAACATCTTTTTTAAGCACAATGATGACGGATGTTACTGCTCTCAATACAAATTTCTGGACAAGGTCTCTGCCATTATCTTGCCATTGAGTGCCTCTGAGGGGGGGCGACGAAAGCATCTGCTACTACTTTTTCATTGGACATCTTCCTCTGAGCAGCTTGAGTTACAACGCGCGGCATAGGTGATGCCAGGTTGGTAGACGGGAGGAGCAGGGACTGCCTGTTTGTGATCAGTGTCGTTCCAGCTGTCATCCGTGATGCTCCTTTTTAATTGTTCAGTGGTCGCTGGAAAATAAACCAGGGTTGAGAGGACTTTTTACTCATCCTTGTGTTAATTTGCTGGGACAGTCTAACAGCATCTGTAATGGGGTGCCTTAGAAGAAAGAGACTTCCTGTCGCATAGCTCTGGAGTCATCAGTGTTACCTCTGTTGGTTCCGCGTCTCCCCCAGCTCTGTGCTTTGCTGGCGGTCTCTGGGTAGCTTGGCATCTGCATCCCCAATGTCTACCTTCATCTTCATATAGCTACCCCAGGCCTGTGAGTGTATATGAATTTCCCCCTTTTAAGTCACACTGAATTGGGGTTTCCTTGAAAAATACCTTGGTTTAACCTAATTACCTCTGTGCAAATCATCCCAATAAAGCCAATATAGGTATTGAGATAAAGGTACCGAGGTAAAGGCTGAGATTCCAGCATATCTCTGGGGAAGGAACAAGAATCAGCTTATAATATTTCCATTAATCATAATGCCTTGGTTTGGAGGCAAGATTCTGTGTTGTCCAAATGATCTAGGACCTCAATGATATTTTCTTGATCTAAGGGTCAGTTAACAAGACTTTTGGCCTAAGCACAGGGTGAGTCAGAGTGGAGTGCAGGGTTCGTGTGTGTGTGTGTGTGTGTGTGTGTGTGTGTTTGTGTGTGTGTGTATATGTGTGTGTGTGTGTTTCTGATTCATTTACATTATTACTTGATGTGAAAGTGTGAGCCCCCAGTGGCCTTCAGTCATAGCTTTTCCTTTCTCTGAGACACTATGGGCTCAGCTTCTCCCTGTTCCTTTCTACCAGCACCAAGCACAAGCATGCTCACATTCTACACAAAGCAAAGCAGCTGTAGGCAGGACGTGTGTGACTTTCCAGGTTCTTCCCACAATAAACAGCGCTTGGAGAAGCACAGGTGACCAGCAGCATAGCTTGCTTAAGAAAATCAACACTTGGCCCTGCCTGTTTGTTCTGAACATTTTACATGGTGCCATTGGGGAGTTTCAGGCCCATGTGTGCATTTTTCACAAAGATGACTTGAAGGGAGCGTCCAGGTGCAGACCTCCGGAGTACGTCTGGGCCTTTAGCTCTCTGGGTGGAGATTCACAGTTGTGCTGGGCAGAGCCGCTCAGCTCACTGTGCGTGTGTGTGCTCCACAGACACCAGCTGGAGATGCCGGGACACTACTCTCATCTGGCCGCATTCTATGAAGACAAGAAAGGGGTGCTCCACGCCGGCCCCGGAAGGGGCGGCAGCCTGCCACCCGTCTACTGGCTGCCTTCCATCCACCGCTACATGTACCCCGAGATGAAGGTGAGGCTGGTCATCCTCTCATATCTGGGGATAGTCATGGTAGGTTAGTTTTTAAATGATAAGGAAGTTATGCCTCAGCCTCGTGCAGAATAGTGCTTTTGGTAGAACTGGGTTAAATGTAAGCGTTTGAGTTCATTGAAAACAGAAGGCAAATTGCCTTAAGCAATATGGCGTCTGGAGCCTTCTATAATCATAGCACAAATCCACATACGCTGGGTCACAAGGGGCGATCTCCTGGGATGCAGGATGCTTTTGATTGTGTCGGTTGCTTCTGCTATTAATCTAGCCAAACATTCGAACTAAAGATGAAGAGTTTGATGAACAGACAAGGTATTTCTTAGCTGTGTTATTTTGACATTATTTTATTTGGAAATTCTGTCGCATCCTTTGCACTTGTACTAGCATGTTTGTTTAATGTTAACAAGAAAGTCGACCGTGCAGCAGGTGTTGAGAAGATACAAAAGCGTCTAAGAATATGAATTTCTGTTGTCTCTTCCTTCTCCTTCTCCTGTGGCTGGGCACAAGATACTTCAGTAAAACTCAGGACTCCTCTTTCAAAGAAATTAATTTATCAATGCCTGTTGCAACATTCTTTTAAAGCCAGGTTTAAAGAAAAGTGTTCTTTTTCTGTTGTTTGTTTTTTATCCTCGTTGTCTGTTTAAAGCAACTGAATGGTTCACTGACTTGCTGTAGGCCTTTATAGCTAGGAGACTGGCAGAACTGAAACACAGGACTGTCAAAGCCCGTGTTCACTCCCTGCCTCCTTCACTGCTTTTCCAGAGATTTGGACCAGAAAACAAAGACATGGCTCATGGGCCAAGAGCAAATTACTTAAATGAGATTGACTTTTTATGTCATTTGGCCATAAGGAAAAAAAAATGAAATAAGTAAGATTTTATCAGCAAACCAAGAAGAGTATGCTAGGTATCTAAAACTAATTCAAGACAGGAGCTCAGTAGTGGAGGGGTCAGAAGACTGAAGGAGCAAGCAGAGGACACAGTAGCCCCTCCCCTATATTTGTAAACTCGCCACAGTTGCTACCCTGTATTGGCCAGCTATTTCTGCCTAACAAACCACCCAAGATTAAAAGCTCGAAGTAGTGCATGTATGTGATCCCACAGTTTCTGTGAATAAGGACTTCAGTCCTGGCTTAGCTGAATCCCCAATTTAGAATCTGCTATGAGAGACTTCAGCTAAGGCTTCAGCCAGGGTTGAACTCTCATTTCAGCACAAGGCCCAACTGGGCAAATACCCATTTTTCTAAGTTCATACGGGAGTTGACAGAATCAGGTTTCTTTTTCTTTTAACTTCTTTATTGAAACTTTGGGGATTTCACATCATTTACCTCAATTCTGTTTACCTCCTGCCCCCCCATATTCCCTCCTCATTTCTACTGCACCCCTCCATACAAAAGAAAACAAAACGAAGTAAGCAAGCAGACAAAAACAAGAACAGAAAACCCCCAGTAAACCAAAAGAGAACAAAAAGCACATGAGGAACAGAAAAACCTCTGCTTTTCCTCTCCTGCCTCTCCGTCACCTCTTCACCTGTCCTGATGGCACTGGGGGAGTTGCTGTGTCATATAGTGTACCCCTTTGTCCTATCAGCTTGACCGGCAGATGTTCGCTGCAGTAAGTCACTGGTCTGGTTCAAGGCCCCTTGTTTTTGGAGCACCATCCTCCTTGGTTCCTCATCAGAGCTCCTCTGGTGAATCCTGTGGCCATCCCAAGTCTTGGAGATCTTGTGGGTATTGTTCCACAGGACCAGTCCCTTCATGAGCTCCAGCAGGTCCCAGGTAGGGTAGATGCTAGGGTGGGTCAGCCAAGGTCTAATTGCGAGTCTGGGTGTTAGCCAGGCAGGTCAGATTGAGCCACAGGGGGCACCCACCTCGGGCGCGTCCTCAGGGTAGGTTCATCCTCGCTTGTAGTGAGGGGTGGGGATCCTCCCGAGTCCAGGGGCCAGCTCTTTTACTGTAGTGACCAGCAAGAGGCAAGGGCAGCTTTCCCAGGGCAGTGAAGGGCGAGGCCAGCTCAGCATAGCCCTCTGATTTCATCTTGCATGGTTCCTAAGGCCTCCTGGTGTGACACTGGCCACAGGCGTCAACATAGATTCCAGCTGCTGCTGGACCACAGACCCAGACATGGTCCATGGCAGCAGCCTGGGTCCAGACAACATCCTGGTTCTAGGGTCCCACTCAGGTGGGAATGGTCTGGCAGTCGCGTGGCTGCCAGACACCACCAAGGCCTCAGGTTGCAGCCCCAACCCTGGGCCACTATGTGACTGCTAGAGTGTGCCCTTTAGATATGAAAACACCAGAATTTTATATGTGTGTGTACATATGACTGTGTAATTCACCACTGTTTAAGTAGTAGGCAGCTAGAATGTCCGTGTAGTAAACAGCCATTATGAAGAGTGAATCAGAACGCAGCTGATGCAGGAAAGGTCTGCCAGGTCTAGTTTATGTGCGGGTAGCAAGGGCAGAACACTGTACGACTACGATCACAGTTTGTTGAAAACTCAGTCTCAGGCAAAACCATCATGTACATATTCTGTGTATTTTCCGTGAAGACAGAAAAACATGAATGAACACATACATATGTATGTATGAATATATACATCGTGATGCCTATGTAGCCGGAGAGCAAGGCGAAGTGCAGAGAGTCAGGGAGGGCAGTGCTTCTGTTTATAATGCAGAAAGGGCTTGGGCAAAAGGATGGGACTGGAAGTGGTACAACCTAGCCCTGTGCCTGTGGTTCTGTCTCCAGAGCCAAGCAACACATCCGTACTGAACATACACAGGCTTTTTTCCTCATGATTCTGCAGACAGTGCTGCACAATGATTACATGGTAATTTAGTTCTGGTTTCGGTTGCTGTGAAGAGACACCACGACCACGGCAACTCTTATAAAGGAAAACATTTAGTTGAGGTGACTCACTCACAGTGTCAAGAGGTTAAGTCCGTCATCATCATGGCAGGACATGGGCGGCGTGCAGACAGACTTGATGCTGGAGAAGTAGCTGAGGGTTCTACATCTTGTATGCAACAGGAATAAGTCTGTAACACTGCGGGGGACGGGTATCTTGAGCATATATGAGACCTCAAAGCCCACCTCCACAGTGACACATTTCCTCCAACAAGGCCATAGCTACCGCAGCAAAGCCACACCTCCTAATAGTGTCACCCCCTTTGAGGGCCATTTTCTTTCAAACCACCACATATAGCATTTGTAGGGCATTAGGTATGTCAATAATTTAGAGGTAATTTAAAGTCTGTGGGAAGAAGTGTGTATGCTACATACTAGTATTATTTCATTTAAGAGATCACGATCCACAGGATTTGCTACCTGGGAGTGGGTCCTGGGAAGCAGCTCTCCATGGATACTGACCATATATATTATAACTACATTTGCTTTTTATGGAAGATCATGGACATGTTCAAAAGGAAACTTTATTTTCTGCAAAAGCCCCTGAGAAACAAGCTGAGAAATTGTAGACATTTAAATCCAAGTAAGAGAAGCACCTGTGTCTTTGTGCACCTGAGTGGGGCGCAGCGAAGAAGGGACGGGATCTGCAACTGACCTCAGAAGAGGGAGGACACCTGGGGTGGTCTGCGTGCACTAACATTCCCTCGGCCCCACAGCTTTGTATACACTCATCCTTCAGCCAGAGAGTGTCCTGCAGATTCGTTCGCTATGTTGACGCTTAGACTCCACTTACTTCAGGAAGCCTTCTCCGTCTTTCAGAACGCAATCAAGCGCCTTCCCATTTGCCCCCAACAGTCGCTGTCCTTGTCCTGTCACCTCAGGCTATATTATGGTTGCTCTTTTACTTGCTCTGCTCATCAGGTAACTGTCAAATTCAGGGTCTGGGTGTCTTTATTTATTGTTGAAAATAGCTTAGTGATTTGGCACAAAGTAATCACTTAGAAGATACTTCTCAAGTTAGTGGATATGTGTATCTATGAATGAACGAATAAATGAGATGAGAATTTAGAACCATTTATCCTAGGACATATTTGCACAGTCCCCGGCAGGTCTCTATGCAGCACAAGCACATTCATGTCAAGTGCCTAAAGATGGCAGAAGGAAGGCAGGGGAAGAAAGGATTGTGTTTGAGCTCCCTTTTTGTGTGGCTGCCATTTGACTCCATAGAAGGCAGTGACTGGAGAGATCTGACCAGCCTTGGCCCACGAGGGCCCCTCTCCCTGATAATTGAATAAAGGGCACAGAAAGTAGGCTAAGAGTCACAGCAGGCTTGCACAGTGGACGGTGGCCTTGCTTGCAACAAGGAGCTGGTGAATGATATCAGGGTAGAGGTTGTAGGTTGCTTTGGAAAGGAAAATTTCCCTCCCAGGTAGCCCCATCGAAGCTCTGTAGATTGAGGACAGCCAGTGGAGGCGTAGTACAGGGGCTGCAGCAGGGCTGGCTTAGGACTTGGCCGCCCCCCATTCCTGCAGCTGTCAGACTTTCAGCTCCGTGTGTACTTTGGGGAAGCTGCCTGTCTTCAGAACTGTGCCTACCTGCCTTTCTTATGGCAGATGAGCCTGCTATGCCTACAAGGAAGCGTCAGAGTGGCCTTCTGAGCTATCACAGGTCGCTGGTTTGACGCCTCTGTTCTGCTAGTGACACCGGTGTTTTCTGTGCTTTGGTGTTCCTAGCTATAAGTCACTCATGTCTCCAGTGGTCCTTAAGCCAGCTGAGGTAACCCATCATCTGGTCTCCCTGTTTTACGGGCTAGGAAAGCAGACTGGAAACATTGGCTCCCTCTCCCAGGCTTCCCTGTTAGTAAACAGCTAAGGCAGGAGCACAGTTCTCAAGCTGACATTCTGAGCCCCTACCTTTCAGAAGGTAGCTCCGAGGTAGGGTGGCCCCCTGCAGTTAGCGTCCCAAGGAAGCTGGTTGGAGTTGAAGTATGCCAGAGGTAGCCATGAGACTGTTGGACCCTCCCTGCCTGTAACTGCTGCAGATACTGGACTGTGCACAGGAGAGTCGCCAGGTCCCTGCTGTTGCTGTCTGTTTGCTCGTCATTGTATTGCAGTGCTCAGTGTTTTGTGTTGAATGTTCTCATTGAGGCATACATACATATCTTCAAGTGAAGTTTCTAAAAGTACATACTTTAAAAAATGCCTGCATTTGAAGCCCATGTGCACATACAGGCACATGCGTGCCCAGGCCAGAGGAGAGCTCGGATCCCTTGTATCTGGAGCTGCAGGTGCTTGTGGGATGTCTGTTATGTGATACTGTGATCTGAACTCCTGTTGTCATGAATGTACGTTAAGCACACTGAGCCATTGAGCCATCTCTCCGTCTTCCAAACTGCTGAGTTTCAAATAATAAAATCCAGCTGTTTCCTCTGCACTACTCTCCAGAGTAAAGTGTTTATAGTTCTTAAATTCAGACTTCATTCTGTTGGGAGAGCTGACACATCAGAGGAATCAAGCACCAGGTAGCATTTAGTGTGGAAGCAACTGTCTCTGAACTCTTGGGGATTTCTCGGAAGGCTCTTTCACAGTGACCACTTCTAACAAGCTGTCCACCCGCCCTTGTGTGTTTCCAGATCACACACCCGGCTGGCTGCATGTCTCAGTTTATTAAGTTCTTTGGAGAACAGATCCTCATTCTTTGGAAGTTTGCCTTACTCCGAAAGCGCATTCTGATATTTTCTCCCCCACCCGTGGGCGTCGTGTGCTACAGAGGTAACGAGAAGCCCAAGTGAGGGGCTCTTCCCAAACACCCAGTACATACGCCCTAGTCCTTCAGTTACTGAGCAAGTTAGGAAGAGTTTGGGCCCAATCAGTGGGGTCAAGGCTTCTGGTTAGATTTGTATTTTAGAATGTGGAGTCTAGAGGCAGCGAGGACAGATGAGGTTTCACCTTCATATCTGGGGGAGAGATGAGAAATGAGGGTCTGGGCTGAAGCAGAGATATGAGGTAAACTGGACAGGGTTGACTGAAGTATGCAGGGATAGTTGAGAAAGAGTCTAGGACCACAAAGATGATGGGGCCACCAAAATGGGGAACCGAGGCATGGGGGTGGGGAGTAAATTTGGGTGTGTACTTCTTGAGACATTTCCGGAGAGATGTATGCAAGGACTTGTGTGATTGGGTCGTGACCTGTGGGGAATCGTTGACCTTGAGAAGAAGGTTTGAGAGGGATGGACAGCATTACCTGGACAGAGTGTGAGGAATGAAGGTGTCAGGTGTGAGAGGCTGACGAGAGTAGTGCAAGGACAGGTGAATGAAGGAGATGATGGAGAGAGGAGGACCAGAGGATGGAAGGTTCCAGAGGGTATTGAGGAGGGGGAAGGTCAGCAGAACCAAAGTCTAAGTCAGGTCAGTGAGAGAAATTCAGAAAACACCTGTTTGACGATACATTGCTGATGAGACCTTCAGGATATCCAGTTCTGCAGTGAGGCCCTCAAAGATTTTCCAAGGCCACCTGGTTACAGGATAGGTAGCACAAACCAGGCCCTCCCCAGCTCCGGAGACAACTTCCCATTGCCCTAGCAAAACACAAGAGGCTGTGAATTCCTAAGAGGTTTGTTTGGGCTTTTAGTTCTGAAAGTCCAAGAGAGCGATGCTGGCATCTAGTCATCTTTTGAAGATCCCCTGGCGGAAGAGATGGTGCAGGAAAGAGTCGTGTGGGGGAAGGAGCAGAGCGACTCTATAGCATGCTTTAGAGATCACTGACTCAGTGTCTTCAGACACCAAAACTTGTATGAGCGTGACACCTCTTTGACGTAATTCCATCTTAAAGATCCCGCATCTCTCAGTAATACTACGTTGGGGGCCAAGCTTCAGTGCGGGGTTTGACAAGAAAAAAACCACAGAATGTAGCAGTTCCCATGTAGATCAGCTGTTTGGAGGTATTGACCTGCGCTCGGTCTTGAGTGGGGGAGATGGAGCAGAAGGGAAGATTCCTCACTTCTGTTGTCCCCACCCTTCCAGTGTACTGCTGCTGTTGTCTGGCCAATGTCTCACTGCCTGGCATTGGAGGCACCATCCCTGAGTCGAAGCCTTTCTTCTATGTGAATGTGGCTGACATTGAGAGCCTGGAAGTAGAGGTGTCCTATGTAGCCTGTGAGTATGGGGCCCTCCCCTCCCCTCCCTGTGTCCAAACCCTTTCTTCTCAGAAATAGGCTCTAGGACTCTTGGCTCTGTAGTCAGATTGGGGCAGCTTTCTCTTGGGGCTACCTCATTAATCCTGGGCTCCACAGGCACCACAGAGAAGATATTTGAGGAAAAGAGGGAGCTGTACGACGTCTATGTGGATAACCAGAATGTAAAGACACACCACGACCACCTGCAGCCCCTGCTGAAGATCAACAGCGCCGACAGGGAGAAGTATCGTCGGCTCAATGAGCAGAGGTGAGACAGCTGTCCGCCATATACATGCCGTGTGTGCTAGTCAGTGCAGCCCAGGCCAGCGCTGTGCTAAAAGGACCACAAGTTTGCAGGGCAGTCAGGAGCACCATTCTGTTCAGGATGGCTCTGTGAAATCTGTGCAAAGCCTACGCCGCCACCCCTTTCCTTGAGCATTCCTAAAAGCGGGGGATGGGGAGCAGGGGGTAGAAATCAAGGGGTGCTTTAGGAAGCTGACATGCTACCCTTGCTGCAAGGTAGCAGACACTCATGTGTGGTTTCTGGTGGGCTTGAGACTCTGAGATCCCACGAAGGAGCAGTAACAACACCAGCTTTTAGAAACACCCCGGAAGACCTTGTTTAGATTTGCCCATGTATGTTTGGAATAGCCGTTCATCTGCATGGTATGGTTCCATTAGGAAACTTGTCTATGCACACCGTCCCACGTAACTTTCAATTCTGTTTATCCTAGGAGAGAAAGGGTTAGCATATATTATCCCTATCCAGTGGACAATCAGGCAAGACAGTCACCTGACTAAGGGGGTTCCAGTGGCAAAACGGGCCACAGATCCTGGGTTTGAGTCCAGGCTTAGCTCATTCTCTTCCTAGTCTCTGGCCTGGCGCGAACTCTGCCTGGTGCTGTTTCTTGGGAGATAGGGACATTGTTAATGTTGGATTGCTGCCCATCACGTAATTGGGTGCAGCAGCCACTAGAGCCTGATAGTGTTCTCTCCTCTAACAGGCAGATGCTGCTGTACTCCCAGGAAGTTGAAGGAGACTACAACCCTTGTGAAGAAGACCTCTTTGTGCTGTGAGTTGGCCTGGGCAGGAGCTGTGGGTCTCTGGGAATCCTTTCAGTACTAACTTCTATGGACAGACAACTTGGTTTGAGCCCATGCAACCCACTACAGTTTTGGATGTCCTTTATTCTCAGAGCTCTCAGGGCTGGGTCCTTAGTGGTAGCCAGAGTCCTGCACACCTATCAGGGTGAACCCAGAGTTGCCGAAGAGATAGGGACAGGTCCTAGAGAACGGGGACCCTGAGCATGCATCTGATTGACATTTGCATCCAGGATGTCACCACATAGCTGTCATCTCTCCGCCCTCTCATTTGTTGACCTTCTGGAAAGACCAGTTCCTTGTACTGAGTGTTACGAGGTCAGCTGGAAATTCTACCCTTGAATCGAGGGTAACCTTTCCTCTCCAGATCTGGTAGACATGGGAAGGGCTGGCTTTCAAAGAGCCCCAGGAAGTCCTGTTTCAGAATCAGAGCAGAATGTGGTTGAAGTAGAAATAAATGCTCTGGAGGGTCCTTAGCTTTGATGAGGGCATCTCCACGGAGCTCTGTCTTGTTTCCGAGTCTACTTCCTAATGCACATGCACTGTCTAGGCAGAGTGTCTTGTCAGGGTGTGACAAGCCATTTTCTTACGTCTGTGGAAAACCCCTGACTCCAAAGCAGCATGGCTGAATGAACGCCTTTCTAAACACAGCTCGTTTACTCTCCCAGCATGTGTACAGCTGTGACCCTGAAATCCTTTTCTTACTGTATAATGCTCCCGCAGACACCCTCCCAAATGGGGCAAACACCAAAGAGGCGCTATGAGCCTTGCCATCCTCAGTGAGTGCAGCGTGCCTCCCCTTTCCACTGCTGGCTTCAGAACTGCCCTGTGCCTGCTCGAGCCCCTCTGAGCTCTCCCTGTCTGCGGGCAGCATCAGCGACCTAGGGCTGCAAGGCCAGCGCAGAGTCCTGTGCTCTCTAGCGAGGCTTGTTGGCTACCAGCTGCAGCGGTCCAGGCAGGGCTTTGAACAATGTGCATTTTCAGTCTCTCGCTTGAAGTCTTGGCCTCAGAACTGCATTCCCAGGCTCTGTGTTTTCACTCTTCCCTGAGGGTTACACACAGGGAGAGAAGCTGTTTATGGAGCCTCTCCGGAAGGCCATGCTTAAAACAGGAAAGTTGTAGTCAAGCCGCCATCCCTACAGATTACTCTGTCATATGGTGATTCTTGCCCTATGATTTACTTGCTGACATCATTCACATTCTAATAACCATTTTACATTGACTTCCTCTAAAAATTGTTAGATTTAATTTGGAAGTTTTGCACAGTTCGGGCTCTGTATGTTTTGGTTATATGGTTGACCTTTTGCTGTGTCTTCTCTCCCTTTCCTGTCTTGGAAATGCAGGTTTTTCCTAGAGCAAAACAATCGGATTTTTCAGACTCTGTTGGAGGTGTCCGCCAGTCAAGACAAAACTCTAACAGCAGAGCATGCCCGAGGCATGGGACTAGACCCCCAGGGAGACAGAAGCTTTCTGATGGACCTGCTGGAGGCCTATGGCATCGATGTCATGCTGGTCATTGATAACCCCTGTTGTCCATAGGAGGAGGACCAGGACTTGGTGGTGAGCCGCTCATGTGGGGTGACAGGAGCCTGGCGTGCACCCCAGGCCCTCGGCAGCTTCAGTTTAAGTTAACACAAAGGACTGTTTAGACTCTCCAACCCATGTAATGTGTGCCATTTCCTTTCTCCCCTCCGCCCTGGGGCTGAGGTGAGGCCATCGGGTTTTGTAACCTTTGGTTGGACATTGGAATCTACTGTCTTCCGCTGCTCCTGGTTTGGGTTTAGTCTTAGGAGTTCCGTCAGTCAGAGGGAGAATATGATACCCATGAGTCCTAGTGTGGCCTTAGATGTGCATCTGCCTAAAACCAGAAACTAATCAGATGACCTTTTAGGGTCACCAAGTTCTAGGGGTCGGGTTGTGATGACCTACTTGTCACAGGACAAGTCTGCGTCTTCTGGGTTGATGGGAGTGGTGACCACAGAGAAGGGAAGCAGTGTGTCTGACAGAATGTCAGGGAAAGGTGGAAAAATGGGATGAATCTTTGAAACCCTTTCTAAAGTAAGGTCATGGTAGCTACACAGCATAACACACCCCTAGCCCCTCCTGCATCTGAATCCCCTCCGGATGGCTTGGTGAATTCTGAAGGTTGGAGCTGGCCCCGGAGCTTATATAAGCAAGTTCATTTGACATTTGAGTCTCTTTTGAGGGCTGACTATCTTCTTGGTGTAACAGGTTCAACAGGTAAGGGAAGACATCTCAAGGTTCTCTGAGAGCTCTCTGGAGGGATTGTTTGCTGTCCTGAAGCAGATATTTCTAGTGAATTCAGAAATGTAGCCAGGGTCTGAGCTGGTTGACTCAGTTTGGGATGTGGTGGGAACAGGTCTCTTAACTGGTTTAAAACTTCCACATACTTATCTTTAGCAGAGAAAACATTCCTTAGCCTAAGTAGCTGGGTCCACAGATCCAACAGATTTGACAGGGAAAATAAAAAGTGCCTCCCCTGCCAGAAGAATAGCTGGAAATCGCAGATGAACAACCAGGCTCGCTTTCTTTGGCCTGGGATAGAACTTGCAGTCAACTTGTTCTTTGGGGCCAGGTCACTCGCGACTGCCAGGTTCCTAGATGAGACACACTGGATGAGAGGCAGGTGTTAACCATACTCAGAAAGCCAGTTCCAATGCTAGTCTCCTTAAAGATTTTGACCGAGTTTGCGTTTTCAGTAATGATTTCTTCTCCTGTGCTCCTACTGCCTGCCTCTGTTACATGTGAACAGCTAGCTAGCCATCCAACATCCATGTCTGTAGCCAAAGAGCAGTTGGGCTGATGTCTGCAGCAGACAGAACTTCAGATCGCGGGGCTGGGCCTCTTATCTCAAGTCTAGGTTCTCGCTTAACTCAAGTATTTTTGCTGTAGTTCCCTGATTAAAAATCCAAGAAGGAAGAGATTTGGGTGTGTGGAGATGCAAATACACACTGATGAGTCAGGGTAACATCTTTTCTGTAAATATATAAATAAGTTTATGCATTGACATAAACTGTTCAGCTAATAGGTCTCTCTCTGCAACGTGGGTTTAGCCGTCATCCCAGTAACGTTTACAAAAAACAGCTGTGCGCAGTGGCTCAATTTTCACCTATTCCTTCCTGTGGCTGACTTCTCCTCGTGCCCCAGGGCCAACTGAACAGGGACCATCAGATGCTGATGAAACAACACTTCCAGTAATCTCTGAGAGCCTCCAAGTTGGACATAGATATCCAGCTAGAGATAGGAAGAGCCTTTTCTGAGAACCTCCCCAGAGCCTGCTGCTTGCCACCACTGTTCCTGTGCTGATGCAAGCTGATCTAAAGATAGCAAGGGGGAGAAAGGCTGTGCTTTGTGAAGTTGGGCCCTGTGGACCCTTTCTAACTAAGCCCCTGATTTCCTGGTCTCTTTGTACCCCGCCCACCCTTGCAGAGGACAGTGTATAGGTGGCCCAGAGGGATACAACCCCCAGATGATGCCATGTCTTAGGTCATAGGTTCTGGGCTCTGCTGACCCCAGAGCAGGACTTCTTGTTCAACATCTCTTTCGATCCTTTCCTACTCTGCCAGCTTCCTCCTGCAGCCAGAACCTGGCACAGACCTCTGTGTGGTCCAACAGATGTATGTTAGCACCTCTGCAGCCTTTGCCTCCATTATCAGCTTCAGAGTATGCCTTAGAAGTGAATTCCTGTCTGTGTCCCCGTGAGGTCTCACTTCATCAGACTGATCCCCCCAGTGGCGGTGAGCGATGCAGGCCTGCCTCATGTGCTGCAGGTTCCCCATACAGCAAAGACATTTGGGTAGACGGATACAGGACCCCTCTACCATGATGGCACAGAACCTCGCAGCCACAGGATTTTTTTTTTTTTGCCACTTTTTGAAATACTTTCTAAAAACCCATCTTGTTTTATTAGGAAGAAAGAAGTGAGTTCATACCCTTCACAACTTTCTAGGTCTGATGGTCAGCAGAGTCAGGCATTTTTTTTTTTCTTTTAAATTACCACTGGCCTCTAGGAAACAGGGTTAAAAATCAGATGTGGGTCCTGCCACTCTCCTGGTGGCCCCCACCAGATCCCTGCCTAAGCTAACAGAGCCCTTCTGGGGAGCACTAAACCCCATCTGTACCATGCTATGAACCATGTGCCAACCCAAAACACTTCCTGAGTTGCTGGCTACTCAGTCATTCTTAAGTTAGAAGAAATTCCAAGTGGCCACAATCCTCAGAGGGATTGGGGTTTTAGAGTTGTGGACATCCATATTAAGTATAACAAAGGCCTCTTAAAGTGGATGTTGTCAATTTCATTAGCAGATGGTAGGAAATAGTTGGCTAGCTGGTGCCTGGCTCAAGACTCTTTCTCCAAAAGGAATAAAAAATAGCAGAGCTTATCTCCCCAGAGTCTTCAGAGGAAGGCCAGGTCATTGCTTGGTATTAGCTTGGGCTTTAAACATGGAGCCTTCCCTATGCTGGGCGCAGATCCAGGCCAGTGTTGGTGTCCTACCTGGGGCCCATATGGTCCCGCGAGTTAGGAGTACAGTGTGACAGGAGGCGTTGGCCTCCCACACTCCCACCCTCCCTGGCTGTGGGAGAACAGGATAGGAACTCGAGACTGTCGCGTACCTTGCTGAAAACCACAGGAAAAGCACGGGAAGGGTGAGAGCGACACTCGGGGACAGGAGTGTTAAATGCTTCGTTGGAAGGTTCGCTTACATACTTACCTGACGTTAGTTAGCTAGGAGATAAAAGTAAGTTAAGTCATAGCTCGTGGCTGTCTTCCTTCTGGTGGTGGCAGGCGGTGAACCTGCTCTGTCTTGAGGCACTGAAAGCATATGGATGCAGTGAGAGAGGAAAATGGGACTTTCAGGGAGACTTGCACAGGGTGGTACCCAGTTAGTCTTCTGGTGGCAAACGCTAGCCTCTAGAGACACAGGCACTCAGGAACTGTCCTTTCCCTTAAACTCACAGCGGAGAGTGGATTGCGGTGCTCTCCCCAGGTTCCGTGCAGTGGTCCTTGTGAGGTAAAGAAGGGATACAGGGTGTGGATGAACAGAATTACAGGATAATGCCGAGCTTCACAGTGTGGAAACGGGCGAGAACCTCTGTAGGAAGACCCAGCAGGCCCCCCAGGGCTGCCATCTCCCCACCAGACTTGCAGGCAGGTAGGCTATGATTCGAAGAGCTGTCAGCCCTCCTATCTCTCACCCACGGCTCACAGTTCTACCCCATGGTGAGGATCCTGGGGGCCTGTGGGCTTTACCTCAGCAGACCTAGTCTCATCCCTTCTCATCTCATGAAAATCCTTTCTGATTCAGGTAAGGGAAGGGGAGAGGCTGGGGGCTCCTTATACCCAGCGCGTGGGTTTTGACTCTTCCACTTAATTGCTAGCATACCTCTGCTCCCAGAAGCGACTGGAGTACTGAGTGTTGTAGGAAAAAGACTGTGAATTAAGGTAATGTTTTCCCTATGAGAAACACAAGTTTATTTTTATATCAGTGTTACTGAGTACTAAAGTGTTGCAATGGAAAGGAATTGCAAAGTCATAATCTAAGAAGGAATAGGCAGCTTTGTAATTGGACCGCTGCCGAGGCCCTTAGTGTCATTGTCCATGACAGTGTACTGAAGCTGAGCACAGACTGTGAGAACTTCTTCAGTGGCACTAGTTGGCCTGGGAAGGATGAGATGGCCACCACCTTTGGCTGAAGCTCCAGGACAGAAGGGATAAATGCAGTCCTTCGGTGACTGCTTCCTCCTGGTCAAGGGAGACGGTGGGAATGGGGGTGGTTTCTAGCTGGCACTTTAATTCACTGAAGCGACTGCAAGTTGGGTGATGATGCTGTAAATTTAGAAAAGGAATAGGAAGTTTCTAGTGCTATATAGAGAAATGAAGATGGGATAAAGAAAGCTCTGCTTTCATCTTGTTAGAACTTATTCTAGAACCATGTTGACTTAAAAGTCTTTACAGCAGAGGATTTATTTACTTTTGCAGCAGGTTCCTGCTCAGTCTCACAGTGAGTTTATTTTGGTTCCGATGATACTGGGGCTTATGGGGGCAGAATAGGGTTTTATAAATTGTGTATAGATGGAACTTCAAAGTGAAATACCCAGCAAATATATTTAATTGAAATTGTATCTGGGTAAATTAAATAAAGATATATAAAAGTTAGGAAAACTAACATCAGCCATCAGCAATGGGGCATTCTGGCTGGGCTCCTGAACTGCCAGCATGGGTGGCTTCTAGGATTTGGGGTGGAGGTAAACAAAACAAGTTCTTTATTTGTCCAGAACTTGCTGGCTAAATTTTTATATAAGTCTGGAATATAATCCTTTCCTGAAGAAATAGTTGTCACCAAGGAAATCTGTTTTCCAATTTTTTTTCTTTTTAAAACATTAACTGTCCCTGTTGCCTTAAATGTAAAAGCCTACTTTGAGTAATAACCCCAGCCTAAGAGTTATAGCAATAAGAGAATCCAAATCTATTTTTGTTTCAAGTCTTTACCTCTATGACAAAGTCAGAAAGATAATTGGTAAGTTTTGCTCTGGGTATTACTGCAGACCAATGTATCCTTTCTCTGTGTCTTCAATTGTGTGTTATTTACAGACCTGGAGAGAGCTGGGCTTAACCCTGAGGCTAAGTGCAAATGTTTCTTGAATTGATTCTTTCTGTGGTACAAGTAACACCTGTGTATATCTGTATATATCTGAAGCAAGTTATGTGCAGAGGTTGATAATAACTATATTTACAAAAACCCCCAAATTTTTACAATTAAAGTCCACATTTTAACATGAGCCTGTGTGCTGTGATCTCTAGCAAGGTGTCTTGGTAGGAAGGATGATGGCCCCAGCTGTGAGCAGAGCCCGAAGGCTGATGCTGCTTTTACCTAGAGATGAGGACACACACTGGGGAGCGGCAGCCAGTCCTTTGAGAGACTGTGGTTGGATAAACATCTCCAGGTAATGGAAACTAAAGTCAGAGAACCAGGACTGTGTATCTTTAATCCCCACAGGAAACTTCTAGACTCTAGAGAAGCTATTTTGTGTCAGAAATATCTTCTGAGAGTTTTATGTGGCATTATATAGATATATGTGCACATGCTTATCTGTACTCTAAAACTTTTATTTCAGCTTTGCCTTTGGGGGAGTGATTTTAAACCAGTATAGAGTGAATGGCAACACTGACTGATGGCAAGGCTAGGTTTCTATTTTCTAAGTGGGATGGCATATCTAAGAGTGTGCCTTATAAGAACTAACATTCTTACAGTTGTTTTTATAATAATGTTCTTATAATGCCAGTTGCTTGTATAAAGGCCAGAGGTGACCCCCATGATCCCCTTGGCAAAGCTGAGCATCTGTATACTTGTTAAATGTGGGTATTTTATGGATGTCCAAAGAAAAGTAGATAATGAAACCCAAGCCCTTAAAGGAAACTAGGGAGTAGCCACCCCCCATCCCCCGCCAGACAGGGTTTCTCTGTGTAGTCCGGCTGTCCTAGAACTCACTCTGTAGACCAGGCTGGCCTTGAACTCAAGAGATCTGCCTACCTCTGCCCTGAGTGCTGGGGTTAAAGGTGTGTGCCACCACCGCCAGGCATGTGAGTAAAATTCTTAATGTGGATCCAGTATCTTTTCCTAACCACGTGGCACTTACGGTTAGACTCTGCAGCTACACGGTGTTCTAAGAACGAACACTGGATTCCATACTAGTCCTTCATGCCGTTACAGAAGCACAGATTCTTTTATCTCCTTACAACAGAGCAGCTCTTATCATCCACAGCTGGCTTGGGGTGAGTGATTCATGCTCATCTTCAGACTCACCTGTTGCTGATAAAGCAGAACATTTGCCTCCACCATAAACATACGGAAATAAACAGACAAACCTTATTTTTGTATTCTTCAATTGAGGGCTTTCTTGTAGGTGCTGTCTGTCTGATCCATTCATGCACTGATTTTACTGGAATGGGACATGTGGATGGGTATAACACTGTCTTTAAATTTTATCTTCCTCAAGTTCCTGTTGCTATGGCTGTCACTTTCCCTTTCAAGACGACAAGGGCTCAAGCCAACTTCAGACAGAGTAGGCCTTCTAAAGTTCAAGGTCTTCTGGGTATGAGCAAAGGAAATGCCCATGCTAGAATTAAAAGTAAATGGTACTGGGGCTGGAGAGATGGCTCAGTAATTAGGACCCAGGTTCAATTCCCAGCACCGACATGACAGCTGACAATTGTAACTTCAAGATCCGACACCCTCACACAGATATACATGCTGTCAAAAGACCAATGCACATAAAATAAATAAATAAATAAAAAGATGTTTTTAAAAAAAGTTGATGGTACTAATGATCTGGCAGGAATCCATTATGGAAGTCAAGTGCTTTTAGTTCTCAGCTTGCAACAGACTAGAGAAAGATCTAATCAGATTGTTAGTTAAAAGATCATTATTAATATTCATGCAGTAGTATGCTTTTTCCTACTAATTTCAAAGCAATTAAAAATGATGTTATAATTCTTACATCTATTTTGTGGGCTCATGAGTAATAAAAATAAAAAAGGAATATAACTGATACAGAATATCCTTGTCTCACCAGAAATAATATTTATGTATCGTATAAATGAACTAGTTAGGAGCAACAACATTCTAATAATATAATTTTTAATTACCAAAAATTCATTACTGCTTTAAATAACTATTTCTAATAATATGGAACAATAATTGTTAAAACAGTTGTTCTGTAATGAATTAGCACTTAAGCTATTTTTGCTGATAGACAGTGGTATAGAGATGTACCCAAGGGAGAGAAAAAAATAATTTAAAAATTTCATATAAAAAGAGTTCACTAGTTTATTTACATAAATAAATGAGGGGTGCATTTAAATTACACTGGATATGTTTAAAAGAATGATGCAACACTTTATTTGTAAACAACGGTATTTACACAACACTAGAAAGTACACTGACAAGTCTTTAGCTTCCCATGAAAAATGATAGATGTCAACATGAATACGTGATTTTTTTAAAAAAAAATAATACATTTGGGAAAAGCAGGAGTTTTGAAGTAGTTTTAAAATACATTCTCCAGGTCTGGTTGGTTCAGCTGTGAAGCAGCCGTTTAAAATGAAGATTCCTGCCAGATTGAGCTACACAGCTTGGGGGTGGGTCCCAGGTCGGTTAGTTTCAACGTGCGCTTCTGTCATACACATGCAAACTAACAAAGAAGAAGCGCAAATTTGTCTTTTAATAGCATTTTATCATATGTTAGCCAGGGCTGAAAAGGAAACAACCTCACGTCTGCTTTCCAGATTGAGACCAACCAATTGGAGCACGGAGGAACAGCACCCATGAGAGAGGCACCCAGAGAAGGCAGCTGCTTCCCTTGGATGCCCTAGGATGGTCAGAAAACGGGAACCGTAGCTTAGTCTCCATATTCCACTCTCCACTGTGGGGCAATCACAAAATTCCAACCCTTTCCAACTCTGCACAGCTGAGCACAAGAACTTCCTTGAACCGGCCTGAGCAAACCACTAAGGAGGAGGGATCGACTACCACAGCACAGGAAAGCAGGACTTAAGGGATGCTGGTCACCAAGTGGGTGAGGGTGACAGGGTATGCTCACTAGGAAGCACTACAAGTCAGGAGAGGAGAGGTCAGGACTACTTGCCATGAAAATTCCCTTGGGATCCTGTGACAACACTCTGGGGAAAGAAGCACACCCATTCCCTTGTGGTCCCACTGGTGGCGTGAAGGGCAGTCCGCCAGCGCCGTGCTGCAGCCGGATCACTGAGATGCACTCTGCAGCATCTGCTCCCTCTTCCGTGGGTCACAGAAGAACTGCAGTTTCCTGGGCATCAGCGTCACCTCCACAGGCATGGCTTCATACTCCTCGCTGTCGATGCTGAAGGAGCCCTCAGTTCCCTGCAGAGAGGAGGGATTCTAAGTGCACCTCTATGACCTTCATGATGAAGAAGCATCTGCTGAGGTCAGTCAAAACAAAATCTCCCAGTGCTCACTGGTCCTGGAAATACCTCAGTTCTCTCTCCATCCATGAAAAGGGATTTTTCTTTTTAAAACTTCTATCTCAAAAAATAATTTTGTAGCTTGAATAAGGTTAAAATTTTAAAATATTTACCAAAAGACAATAAATTATCAAAGAACTAACATGATACATAAGCAAGGATATCCATTAGGAGAAAAAATAATGACCATGTAACTGAGGGCCAGGGACTATAATTCTTCTAGGCTAAAAGAAAAAAAGTCAGGTAATTTTCATTTGAGGGACTGTTGAAATACGGAGCGGCAGGCTGTGTCCCGCCACCCGGCTAGCTTTACCCGAAATAATTACACGGAAACTGTATTCTTTTAAACATTGTCTGACCCATTAGTTTCAGTTTTTTATTAGCTAGCTTTTACATATTGATCTAACCCATTTCTATTAATCTGTGTAGCCCACGAGCTGGCTTACCGGGAATGATCTTAACCTGCGTCTGTCTGGAGTGGGAGAATCATGGCGACTCCCTGACTCAGCTTTTTTCTCCCAGCATTCCGTTCTGTTTACTCCGCCTACCTAAGGGTTGGCCTATCAAATGGGTCTAGGCAGTTTCTTTATTAATAAGAAATCACTCCCACATCAAGGGACATTGTGTCTCCTGACTCATTTTCATTATTCCCCAGACTTGCTGGGCTCTGGACGTGGATGTGCCAACACTAGTACCATTAGAGACTTGGGGCCGGCCCAGCCGTAACCCAGTTAATGTAGCATTTGCTCCATGCAGTTGCGGCGGCAGCACATGCGACACCTCCCATTGGCCTAGAGTTCAATGCAGTGCAGCAGCACCACGGCCACAGCTCTTCAGAGACCTGCAGTAACCTGTGGGGCAGCAGCAACCACATCACCTTCAATTCCTGCATCTCCACGTTTGATTCCTACTTCAACAGGTTACTACTCTAAGCATAGCACACAACAGCATACTTTACAGAAAAAGTAAAACCCACTGCTTACCAGCTAGAAAATTCCTAGACAATAATATGATTATAAATGTCTTTTGCATTATTGGCATGAAGAAGCAAAGGGCAGGGGACGTAAGAATCACTTTGAGGGAGGAGCCTGGCTTAGAGACTCGAAGTCCTCAGAGGCCTGATCCATATCAGTAACTTAAAGCCGTTCTCCCTTACCTTGGAACTGATAATGAGTTTGCCAAACAGAAGGTGCCTAAATGGAGGTCAGGTAATACGGAAGAAGGAGGAAGAAATGGAGGGACAGACAGACCAACCCAAAAGAATGGTCCCCCCCCTTACCTCAGGTGGTTGCCCCCACCCCCACCCCCTTACCTCAGGAAGGAGGAGAGTGCAGTGGCTGGCCTGGAGACACTCAGTACCAGCTGCACGCAGGTCGGGGTCTCTCATCTTCTTACTTCTGTTAGTGGAAGAAAAAGCGAGGTTAGAATCCTTGATGGCAGTTGCATTAGGCTGCAGAAAGCCCAGTTCTCCCTTATGAGGGCAAGGAAACCACTGAAGACCAAGGCTCAGTGACTAATTCCCTAGGATTCTGGCCCAGTGTTGTAATAGGTTCCAGGCCAGTAGACTGACTACTGACGTTCTTGCTGCAGGGAGCGTCATAAAGCTGAGGCCAAGTTTCTCTCAATTGTTCTACATCTATCTAATTCTTAAACTGTTAACCTCACATTTCAAAATTAGGATATAATTAAATCCTCTGAGAAAAGCACCACACTTCTGTGACCTTCATTAAAGACAAAGTAGTCTTATTCTAGCTTGCGGTAGATACCTCTTTAATCTTGAAAGTCCCAGATAGTTTCTGATAAATCTCCATATGTAACAGCCTGCTTTGCACATATACCTTTATTAGCTGGCCTTGGAATAAAGCAGTTGGGCACAAATACACCTGACCTCAATGCATATGTACCCCATTTCACTAGTTATAACAAATACAAAAAGAGGGGAAAGGAAAGAGGCAGGAGTTTACGGCCAGCCTGAGCTACTTGGGGAGTTAAAGGCAAGCTTGGGTCTAAGAGACCCTGTCTCAAAAAAAAAAAAAAGGTAAAAAGTCTATTATCTATCTTTATTTGGAAACAATTCTTTCCTGTGGGGTTGTCATCAGCATTTCCCCACGTTCCTTTAAGATATTCAGGACACATGGATTGCACACATTCACACATTTACTTCCCTTAGGAACCAAAAGGAAACTTGCTGATAAGAATGCTGACTACAGCGCCATCTAACTGAGGGATACAGGGGAAGTTTTGTTTGGCTGTCAATTTTATAAAGGAGATTTGAATATGGCTGCCACCACTAGCCACAATCACTCAAGATACAGTGTGATCTGTGCACACTGTAGAGGGACAGCCTTTTCCTTCTTCCTTTACTATACACCGAGAATAATCAAAGGCTGCAAGGAGCCATTAGAATCTGAAGAATTTGTATCAAAGGCAAGACAACACAGATTAATGAAAGCCATTCTGCTGCCCACGCTGGAATCGATAATGACGCAGCCATGGAGACGCAGCTGCAACAGCAGCAATGTCCAATCCCTAAGTGGGCACGAGAGGGAGCACCAGGACGATGCAAAGGCAGCTGAGCAGATTACTGGTTGGCATGGGAACACACAGCTCCACAGATACTTGGGAGATGTCTGGAGGGTTACAGAATTCTTAGCCAATGAAGTTCCAGCTGAGGCAGGACTTAACAAATCAGGCAGGAGTCTGAGGAGTCTACTGGATTACTAAAGGGAAACCTGGGAAACGTCCAGGTACGCAGTGTCCTTTCAAGTTTGTCCTTGATGTTCTGGGAACAGGGAGACAGGGAATGCATGCACAGTAAGAGATACTGGGGAGTGAGGCTCACTGTCAAAAGCCTCCTGGAGACTGACAAGCAGTCCTGAGACAGTAGACATGATTTCCTTCTGTTTTACAGATGGCAAAGTACTCAGACAAGTAGATGACCCTAGAGTTCCAAGGCCAGGGAGGAGCCACTCAAGCTCCTGCACTGAACCTCGAGTCCTTGACTATGCCAGAAACATGGAATTCTTTCATTTCAGTTGAAAGGCAGACTGTTCCATTCTCATTTCCCAAAATGAGCAGAGGAGGCAAAAGCATTCAGGCACCACAAATGCCAGCCCCATTCTAAAAAAGAAGAGTTCCCAGACAGGCAGACAGACAGACAAGGCCTTTGCCGGGTCTCCATCTGAAGTAGACAGCCCACTCCGAACAGAAAGGGTTGACAACACAAGTTATTTCATGAACCTCCATTTCCCACAGGGCAGACACTTACCCTATGGTTATGAAATCTCCTTTGCTGACAGTATCAGGCTCGATGCAAATGTTCATAAAGTCTTCTTTGCTCTAGAAAGATCAAGAATATGAACGTTAAGACATGGAAATTGGGCTAATGCAGCTCTCACCCACAGGAGTCTGTATTTAAAATGTAAACATGATAAGCAATCTGTTGACAGGTTTCTCTGCCTGGTTCCGCAGCTGTTCAGTCCCAATAAAACACACAGAGGCCTATGTTAATTATAAACTGGCTAGCCTATTAGCTCAGGCTTCTTATTAACTAATTCTTACATCTTAGAGTAACCCATAATTCTTGTCTGTGTTAGCCAAATGGCTTGGTACCTTTAACAGTGAGGCCTTCTCATCATGCTTGCTCTGTGTCAGGGTGGTGACTGCAGACTGAGCTTTCCTCTTCACACAATTCTCCTGTTCTCACTGCCCCACCTCTACTTCCTGCGTGACTACTGGCCAATCAGCAATTTATTAAAAATAATGTTTTATTAAAAATAATACAAGTGGCAAGATAAAAGACCATTGTCCACAGCAAGCAACCCTTTCTATTTCCCAATAATCACTGTAAAGCTTTGTGTTTCTATCCATACAAAACCCTGAAAGATTAATCTGTAGGGAAGCACTGTGGCAAGAGGCACGATTACTGTGCCCCTCCTCATTTTGCTCCTAGTTATTAACTAAGAACATTAGCCCAGCTTTGTGAAACAACCCAGCACTTCTATGTGGCTTTCTTGGAGTTCAAAACACATAGGCCCAGGAGAAATACACAAGCCTCTGAGCCCTTGCCAGAGCATCACAGGTACCACCAAAGCACAGCTGAATCTACTGGGAATCACACGATACTCTGACCTAATGACTGCTCAGAGTTCTCATTTCACTCTGCTACCTGCCAAGTGCCAGCGAATTTCAGCAATCCCTGAAATGTTTGGTTTACATCACTAACAAAAAAACACAAGGAGTTTAACCCACAAAGAACTTACATTTCACAGTAGAGAGTGCAGGGAGTAGAACAATAAGTATATTTCAGAATACAGTAGAAAACAGTTATACTAGAAGTACATCAGAATATATTACAAAATGTCATAAATAGACGAGCCTCAGATGACATTGGTTGTAGTAACTTTTAAAGTATTTATTTACTTTATGTATTTTGTTTGCATGTATGCCCATATACTACATGTGTTCAAGATGTCCATGGAGGTCAGAAGAAGGTATCGGATCCCCTGGAACTAGAATAAACTGGTTGTGAGCCACTGTGTGGGTGCTGGGAATTGAACCTGAGTCCTCTGAAGACCTGGATCTTCTGGAAGAGTAGAAATATCTTCTACTGCGGAGCCATCTCTCCAGCCCCAGTGAGCAATACTTTAAAGAGAGCAGGAGCCCGGGAGGTGAGCAAGAAGAAATATCTTCATCTACAACAACAGTCTTCAAACAGCAGGTGCCCAGGGGGGCTAGACGACATCAGGATCCTGTTTGTATTTGCTGGTTTAAAGTTAATTATTGTACAGAGACTCAGACTCTGCTATCATTCTCAGAGTTCCTTGCTCAGGGCCTGCTGTGAAGCTCAAGAATTTTTATTTCAAACCATATCCAAGAATCTGATGTTGCCGATCTAAAGGCCATATATTGGAAACCATTATTCTGTGAACAAGCCATCCACACAAAGGGAGTGCCCGGCAGAGGCCTTCAGGTGGCAGAATCCCTGAAATGTACAGAGAATGGAAAAGAAATCCACGTGTCTGAAAGAGACTGAGTGGCAGGGCCAAGAGAAGCAGATGAAGATGGGGAAGAAAGCATCTTGTTGGCAGGGCTCTGCAGACCCACTATAAGGAATGTGTTTTTTAGGTTGGGTGAAATGGAGAGCCGTGCAGGGCTCCAAGGAGGTAATGTTATGGCTTTTGTAACAGGGCCACTCTGCTCACTGTGCTCTACCTGCAGAGGCAGGTGAGAGCCAGGGAGGAACATGACAGAGAAATGAGAGGGAGGAGCAAAGGTTCAGCAGATGCCAGGACAATGATATGGGGGGATGATGGGACATGGCATTGGGAGCTGCCCGGGAGCAGGAGGGAAATGATCCAGTTGCCAGGTCTAATTAATTCACAGGGGATAAGGGGAAAAAACAGCATATTTAAATTTGTTGGCACAGGCATGTTCATTTGTTCCCTGGCTGCGGAGACATGAAATAATCACTCAGAAACTATATTATTTGCAATACTGTTTGGCCAATAGCTTAGGTGTCTTTCTAGCTAGTTCTTTTATCTTAGATTAACCCCTTTCTATTCTGTGTATCACCATGTGGCTGTGGCTTACAGGACAAAGTTCCATCGGTTATGTGGCATCCCCCTGACTCTGCCTACTCTCTCTCTATATCTTTTCCAGCCTTGCCAAATTCTGTTAAGCCATTGGCTGAAAGCAGCTTCTTTATTCATTAGCCAATAAAAGTAACACATATACAGAGGGACTTCCCACATCATAAACTTGCAGCAGGACAGCACAGCCATCCTCCAGTTAGAACGGACACCAGCATGTGTTTTCTGGTAACGGCCAGAGAGAGTTATCACAAGTCTCTATGACTGCACTAGGTTCTGCAGTATAAAACAGCCATGCAGTACTTAATAATATGTTAGTGTGTTCGCATTCCAACAGAATCCACAGAAACTTGAATCTGTGTGACTCCACTGGTGAAAATGTAGCGACCCCTCGCTTGAAGGCGGCTGGTGGGGTGGGCCTGTGGTTAGCCTCCACTGACAGCTACTCTGCGGCTTTGTTCGAGGCAGTGATGTGGCCTGGAAGTGGCGCCTGCTGTTAGTCTCCAGATTTTACTAGAGGAAATGTCAGCCTGGACTCAAGACTACTTTTGTCCCATTACTGAGGAAAAGCCTTTGAAAGCATCAATACCCCAGAACTGACAACTATGTTCACGTTTACCTGATCTTGTTATGTGTAAGATAACCAGGAGTGTATTCAGTAACAGGCAAATACTAAAGACAAAACCATAAAACTCCATTGAGAGAAATTGAAGACATTACTAAGTGAAGAGATACATCACATTGATATCCCAGAAGGGTCAATACTATAGAAATGCCATTTCTCCTCAAATTGATCTATAAGTACAAGACAACCTTATGAAACTTTTATGAGGAACCTAGTAAACACTCTACAATATTTACAGAAATCATGGAGCTGAAGAGATGGCTCAGGAGATAAAGAGTGCTTGCTGCTCTTCCAGAGGGGCTGAGTTCAGTTCCCAGCACCCACACTGGGTGGCTGAACCACCTGCGCAGCTCTGGGGGAAAAGATGGGGGGCACTAGAATAAACTGGCCCGAACAACTGGCAACTGAAATGAGTAAATAAAATTGGAGCCCTGTCTTCATCAGTTACCTCCGCAATGCATCAGTTACCTCCACAATGCATCAGTCACCTCCACAATGCATCAGTCACCTCCACAATGCATCAGTTACCTCCACAATGCATCAGTCACCTCCACAATGCATCAGTTACCTCCACAAAGCTCACTTTCACGTGGCAGCTTTTCTCTTTTAAATAAAAAGGGACCAACCACCTCATGAAAATCATTTTAAGTTGATTTTCACTTAGCCATATATGATTAGTATTTTGCCACATTAGTAAATACAAAGATCACATATTACTTTAAGTAAAAGCATAATATTCATTTAATCAACCTATTGAATGTGTTGCTGTTAAAGAATAAACATGCTTTATTAAGAGACATTAAATTTCTGACATTCTACACTCCTAAAGCTGTTTTCATACTTGGAGATAATATTTTAATGATAAACATTTCAAGCTATTACATCAGCTACAGTATCTGAATATCTACTGTATTTGCTTTGCAAAGCGGTGGGGGAAAGAAAAGAAGAGTGTGCTCCACTAGCGACAGCCCAGTGTCGCAGACCTTTGTAATGAGCACAAGGAGAAGAGCAGTCAGCGTCCTGGATGTGGCTCACCTAGAGCTGCAATCACAGCTCAGTTCAATGCATCACAGAGATTCACTCATCAGAGAACAACGGCAAAGGAGGACAAGCAATATCCTGGGAATACACTGTCACCAAAGACTAAGAATAAAGAAAATGTGTAATAGAGATTTTATCTTCTTTTCAAAAATCTCCTGAACAAGGACTTTTCAACCTCTCGGTTCACGGTAGTTTCAGAATTCTGTCTAAGTACACTAAGAATTTAAGTGTTCACGCCCACAAGCTAAACAGCTATACTTGTCAGGACAAGGGGTATGCATGGGTTCTAGACTCTTTATAGACACTACCAAAAATAGTGTCACAACTTACAGTCTCCTGAAGGCTAGGAGAGAGGTCTGTGCCCATGCACATCACCCTGAGTGCTACTGTGCTGTGTAACACATGGCGATCCAGAAGTTAGTATTTCAGGTTCTGCTTCTTTGGAATTGATTTTTTTTTTTAACTCTAGTATAAAATGCAGTTAACTATTTACACACAGACTCATGTGGTATAGTCTGAGGGTAACATAACTAATTTATGTAAGATTCTGTGAACAATGACTCACTCCCATATAATAATATCAGCAAATATGAGTTCTGTTTCCTCAAAATTTCCCTTTGTGCATTTTCTATTTTTAGCCCTTGGACCATTGTTTAATATTGTCTCTGTTCACTTCTTATTGATTTATTTGAGGAGTTTATGATAAGGAGACCTAATAAATGCTGGTCTGTCATACTCAAATATTCTCCCTAATTGTCACTCCGAAGTTATTCTTTTTAAATAAGTAGATTAATTCATCAATATAAAATTTTCCCTAGGTGTCATGCTTAGAAAAACTTTTGTACTTTCCAAGTTTATGCTGATAATCATTTAAACTTAACTCAATACTTACCAACACCAGCCAAAACAATTTTCTACAGCAATGGACGTGTTCATGTCTGTATATTTAGTATGGCGATAAGCTACATATGGCTATTGAACATGATATATGTCTACCATGACTAAGGAACTGCATTTTAAACTTTATTTTAATCCCATATACTTTACTGCCACATAAGGTTAATAACTACTGCTTTGTACAGTGCATTAAATCATATATGACAGCCTACACATGGCACACTGGCCTGTAATTTTACCATTTAGGAGGCTGAAGCAGGAAGATCACAATTTGAGGCTAGCCTATACCACAGAGCAAGACTCTGTCTCACCAAAACCAAACAAAACCCCCATATGTGTATAGCTATGGATTATGTGTTTCTCCTGGGGAATCTGAGTCTATGCATTTAATATATTCACAAAAAAATAACACATGTTTACTCAAGTGAAAGTTCAACTTTTTTCTAGCTTTACACTTTTAAAGCTTCTGTCCCGAGTCTTCCAAGGTCACGCAAACAAGAGTCAAATACTTGTCCAGAGATCCCTGCGCTCCTGTGCCCCAATGCACTCAGCTACCACTTCTCAATGCTATTGTCTCTAAAGGCACACAACAGCCTCCTTTACTTCATCCTTTCATCTGTGTCCACAGAGTAAAACATAAAAATACTGAATTAGTGCAAGGAAAGCACCCGTCCTTTTTCCCCAGACGCCAAATTTCTTTTTAAAAAATGAGTGCACTTGCCATCAGGTCAAGTTGGCTGTTTCTGGTTGTGATGGACAGCTCAATCGTGGACAGTTGTACATCTTTCCAGATCTTTGGGCTCACTTCTCGGGAGAAGGCTGTGGGAATCCATCAGACATGGGTCAGTGCTTCTATTGACATTTCACACACACACACACCAAGACTGTGCTTGGCTTCCTCAGTCCTTTGTCCAGCTCTGTACTTTACTCTACCTTTCCTCTATGAAGGAATACACACTGGCTCTGTAACCTAAAGCACGCTCACTGAAATCAGGCACAATGTCAGTGACAAAGAGTGCACAGAACCTGCTGTGCCCATTCACAAGGCTTTGACGCCTGCCCTGGAAACACCCAGAAGTCTGAATTCAACTGGAATGGCTGGAATGGCTCCTGCTCCACTTAGGTATCTAGAACTGATTCTTGGTGTCTGCTCCAGGGCATTTTTGAAGCAGAGCAGGGCTAGTAACCCACAGTCACCATGTTGCTCACCATCCTGTGGCTGTGCCCAGAATGAGGCAAGCCTGCGCAATATTCTCCTGTACAGAGAAGGTCGGGGAGGGATCTCTTCAGGCTCACTGGGAGGTCGCTCTGTAGGTTCCGTGTAAGAGATGGAGGCCTGATGAGTCTGAGGCCACTCCTGCCAATGAAGAAGAAATCAGTTTCACCAAATCCAAAAAATTTCTACCTCTGGGGGCTTTGCTTTGGAAAGGTCAGAACTCTAACAAGGTAACCATCTCTTCAATGGGTAGAGTTCTCTCTGCTTTGAAATGTGAAACCTTTAAGCTTCCTTTTCTTCTTAAAACCTTGCCTTAAAAACCATGAACACAATGGCCCATGGTCTCTATTACTTCCCTAACATACAGCAGGGAGACAGCCAGGTGGAACTGACAACTACTGCTAATACTTATCCAAACAATAGAAATCAGTATGAATGAGCAGTGGTCCCATAATAAACTGTGTAGACCAGACTGGCCTCAAACTCACAGAAATCTGCCTGCCTCTGCCTCCCAAGAGCTGGGATTAAAGGTGTGCGCCACCACTACTGGCTGTCTCCATTTCCTTTCCTCTCATTTATTTCTTAGTTTTCTTTGTTATAATCTAACACTGCTACTTTGGAGCTTGACAAACCTTTGGCAGCTAACAAGTTCAGAGAACACTCCCTGTTCTTATTTAAACTCCTGCTGTTGCTTCCTAGAAGTTGTACTTTCTCACTCTTGAAATACCTCTTCTATTGGCTGCTATATCGATTCCTTTTTTTGGCTTTTCTCTTAGTACAGTCATTTTCTAAACATTTACAGTCCTGTGTGCCATTCCTGGTCATCTGTTCTTAATGGCACTTTTACCAAACCCATACGTTCAATGGCAGTTACATCCTTAAGACATGGAAACAGATTTCTTTATCCTAGAATCTCTCTGAGGTTCAGACAGATCACAACTGTGTCTATACCCCTTTGTACTACAGATATGCTACCCTCACCACATACAAAATAAAATTTCATCTTCCTCCATGAACTGGGTCTTACCCTAATATCATCAACATTAATGAAAAGCTAAGTTACACAACTCTAGCCCCTCAACTAGAAATCTGGATCTAATATTCTTCAGCTTCTCAGCAACCTCAGTCTGCACCGCAGCACTTACTCTCTCCCTATCACTGGATGACCTGGTCAGTCTTCTGTCTGCTGTCTTGGTCTATAGCTACTCATGCCCAACTCCTAGTGCATGCTGACGCCAAACAGGTTTTCCACAATGCAGATCTCTGTGTGATACCTGCCCAAGTCAGCCCTATTCTTCCAGCTCCGTTTGCAGACAATCTACTGCACCAACCTGAATTAATGATCATGGTTTATCACACTGACTCCACACAGTCCAATTGACTATCCCAAATGTCCTTTATCCAGTTCTACATAGTTCCAAATTTAGCATAAATGTCACCTCTCTCAAGAAGGCTTTGTGACCCTCGGTGAAGTTAGGAGGTGCTCCGCTGTTCCTGTCTTACCATCTACACTTCTCTCCTGCCGTCTGTCAGTCCGCTGGTCCACTGCACTTCTCTCTGGCACATGATGACGTCCTGAGGCCAGAAAGCCTGTGCAGTGTGTGCTCTGTGTGCCAATCACCTGATGAGTACTGAGCAGGGAGTGTTTATAGATCTAGAATGCCATCATCTGAACAGATGGCTACTGCTTCTCCCTAGGTGTTACCGCTTCTCCAGCAAAGTTAGTCTCCTTAACAACAGTAGTTTTTACTAACCAGTTTGCTTTAGGAGTAGAAAGAGATTGGCTTTCCTGTTTGATTTTTTAAATTATGTGTGTTTTCTCCAAGTATTTTACTGATGTTCGTTTTAGTTTTGTGTATTTAATTTTTTATCCCAAGTGGAATTTCTTAGAAGGTTAAGAGAACTACATTTTTCAGTGTGTGTGTGTGTGTGTGTGTGTGTGTGTGCATACAAATACCAGATAACTCTAAATATTAACACTGGAGCCTACTTTCTTACACCAATTTTCAGATTAGTGAACCTAATTTTGGTCTGCATGAAGAATGAAGATAGAATATAGTTCATCTATTGTGTGACTTTCCTATTTACTTTTTCATCTATTTGACATAGTTGAGTCTTTTCTATGCCCCCTACTCTCTCATTGGTAATCAAACCGAGGGCGTTATACATGCTAGACAAGAGCTCTGCCACTGTACTATGCTACAACCTCAGACCTTATTACTTTTTAATATATTCTCTATAGAGCACAGCCCAGCAGAACTTTGTGATGAGGGAAATGTTCTGTATCAGTACTGTCCAGTATAGTAGGTACCACACTTATTTAACCAACACAGTTTAAAACCTACTGATAATATATAGACTCCAATATAATTAATTTATCCATAACTGACTCCAAATCTTCAGGTCATTACCAGGTACTAATAGATACACATATTAATGATCTAGACATTCTGTTCAAGGTTTGTCTGGCAAGGGTGTGTGAATGAGTAGCAAAGGCAAGTATCCAAGACAAATAAAAAAATTTTTTTTTCATGAACAGAATGAGCATGGATGGATGGACGGACAGACAGACAGACATGAGGGGTGCTTGTCTATCAAAACAAGAATGTTTTCTATAAGTATATAAATCAAATGCATACAACATGTGATATGGTTCTATAGCAAGGAATTAATATCTCAAATACACGCATCACAAAGAAACATTGAATTAACATAGGTCAGGTTCTAAATTGTAAATCGCTTTTACCTGTAGAGTGCTGAAAAAGTGGGCTGCTTTGATCTTCAGTGGACCGAGATACCAGTACCTTAGGAGACCAGGATGAAAGTGAGAAGAGTGAGCAGTGTTAGAAATCATCGAGGACAATCAATGCAGCAGGACTGTACCTCTGCTGTGACTGGCTGCTCTTGAGGATTGGCTTGAGGACTGTAGCATAATACAGCCATAATTTAATATAAATTTTAATAGCACACTTAATAATATGCAATTAGATGGTAGAAAGATTCTTGTAGTTAATAAGAAATGTATATCCTAAGTCTCTTTGACCCCTAAATTTACAAATCATTATAATACAGACTTTCACTAATATAATTGATTCAGTATACAGGCAAAAGAGCCACAAGAAGAGAACAATAAAGCCACACACACATATTGTATTATGGATGCCGCTTGACCTAATATGTTATAGGATACAGGACAGAGTTCTGTATTCCATGGCCCCTCCCACATAAAATGTGCACATTCATATACACTAGTATAGCTCATATTACACACCTTATACAGCTTTAATATTCCAAGTATAAATTCTCAGAGTAAAAATTCATTGCATATTGCTAAGTGCATAAAAGCTACTTGAGAGAAGAAGATGTCAGGTTGCAATCAGAAAGTGATGTAAATGCTACTCGATACATGTAGCAGATACCTACATGCTACTTGATTACTCCTGACTGATTCATGTCAGAAGGCCTTTATTTAGCTCCTATTACATATATGGAGAAAGGTATGTAGAGTATAAACATGCAGAAAAACACTTTAAAATTCCTACCTTTGCACCCATGATTTGAGAAGTTAACGACTCCCAAATAATACTAACTAATAAGTGACGACATATGTTGTAGTATAAACTGATCACTATTTACTGGTAAGAAAAGTAAGGAAGAAAGAAAACAGGGTGGTCACGCTGTGAAATAAAAGACACAGGATAAAGCACAGGTATGGAGCAGAAAGTGACTGGAAGCGACCCAAATCTAGACGATGAAAGAGGGAGGAAAAAACTTCAGGTCGGATGAGGGATCACAGCCAGAGAAAGGGCAAGACTTAAAAATAAAACAGAAAATTGGCCATTAGGGACGATGGGGCCATAAGTTGGGCCCAAATTCTAGAACAAGGAAGTCAGATAAAGCCAAACTAGAGCCGTTCTAAATTACCATTCAGGTTAATACTGTAAGGGTATCTATGAGGGCCTTAGATATTTGGTATTTTATGGTATTTTTGAAGTCCTCTCTCTATACTCCCTTTTCCCAAGCAGAAAAACGCCCTGATTCGGGCTATCCATTTCTAAAGTATCAGCAGTCCCTTGCACCTTTTCCAGTAGTGAACCTGACACTGTGGTTGTAGTCTTCCAGTGGCCAGCAAGGGAATGGTTCTTATTTTACACAAGAAGTGACTCAGTAGTCAGTCCTCGCCAAGGTGTTATGTGACCACCTGCAGATCTTAAAACTCAAGGTTCAGAAGCCATGAGGCAGGAAGATGAGCAGTTCCTAAGACAGCTGACCTGCACTGGTGCTGAACTGCGGACCAGAATACCGGGAAGTGGTTTGTTCTGAGCAGACTTTCTCAGAGAAAGCTAAGCAATTCTCCCAGCGAGCTGTGGGAATCCGAGATGACAGATCAAACCCAAGGTAACCTGTGGCATCCGCATAACCATGGCACACTCGCAAACAGAAGGACAGGAAGCATTTACGACTGTGGTGCAATGAGACACAGCAGGACTCTCCTCCTGACACTCCGCTCTCAGGAATCCATCACCAGGGACAACAAGAGTGAAGCCTGTGAGCAATCTCTGTGAAGAATGTTTAGCATTCTGTCCATAACTGCGAGAGAGGGTCCTGATGAGAGAGCTGTACACTAACTCAATCTTACCTCAGTGCCTCTCCTACAACCATAAGCCCTGGGCTCTAGGCTAAGGAAGGACGGCACCTCCACTAGAAATGAAATGAACCTTGGATGTTGTCTCCTTCAGTCCTGCCTCAGGCAGCTGGCCCACACTTTTTTCCTAGGCGGAAGCTTCATTCCACATGAGTCTCCAAAAGTAATTCTATCCCTATGAGAGCCAGCAGCGGCCTGCCAGTCGCTCCTCCTGAACCTGTTCTTGCAGTCAGCAAATCCAGACCTCACCTTTCTCCACCCAAACACGGTCTGCTGGCCAACTAGGACCTTACTTGCTCCCTGAGGCTAACGTGCAGGCAGCACCTTGGAGTTCATCTAAGTATGCTGCTGTGTGATAAGCAATGCCGGTTCTTTCTTCTAGGTAGCTTGAACCTAAGCTACATGTGAGAAAACAGACATGCCCTTCTCTTTATGGCTATTCTCAGTCCTTAGCTTATAGGTTCCAAACTCTTAGCTGGTGCTCCTATTTCAGTATCAAAACCAAATTCAGCTACCTGGCCAAAAAGATTTACCCACAGACTATTGTTTTAAAACCTCAAAAGCAAGGTTGGAATAAAACGTTTAAAGAACCATCACGCATGAACACAGCAATCCTTTACTTGCTAACTTTGACGCCAGCATCTCTGAAGGATCCCCATCGGAGGCCAGTCATTGCAAAAACAGGTTGTTCCTTTTCGCCCTGGAAGTTAAATAGAATTGATTTAGCTTTGTGAATATATATGTAAATTCATAAGTATCTAGAAAATGTTCTAGGCCTACTTCACATCAAACCAAACATTTTATATGTAAGTTCAAATATTAAAGCAATTAACACTATGCCATTGTAAAAGTGCTTGAATGATCCACACTTGCATTAGTTCTCATGAACCTACTGGCAAGGGAACGTATTAGCTGTAATTCTGAGTAGTTAAATTCCAATGGCTGAAGACTGATAGATACCAGGCCCCACATTCCAAGAGAAGTACAACACTACACACAACTCCAGAGTTTGCTGGAAGACAGAAGGACCAACTTAGATTCTCTCATACCATCAATTCTCTGCCATGGCCAATATAAGCTAGGATCAAGACCTGGGCAAGGGGGATGGAGGGAGGATCTTTGGCACGAGAAGTTGCTGTCCTGGAGAAAGTACGTTGCATCTTGTGTTCATGGGATCAAGGGCTCCTTCAATCCCAGCACCAGCATCATTTCACTGTGTCCAAGCCAAGCAAGGGAATTTGTTAGAGAAACACACAGTAGGAGAACCGTCCAAGGAGACACTGACCGCTCACCCATCTGCTGTGCACCTGTCATGCAGTAGAATGGCGTTGCTACTCTCTGTACTAAGACAAGCATGGGAAGAATAGCGGAGAGAGAGAGAGAGAGAGAGCAGAGCAAGCAGAGAGGGGCTGCTGAGGCCCCAGCAGACTGGCACAGTAATTAATTAATTAATTAATTGTCTCTGGGTGCTGAGTAGAGAGAACTTCCTCTGAGAGCAGTGGGCCAGGGGCTAAGGCACTCAGGCATGAGGAGGCTATGAAGAACACTCAACCTGAGAATTAGAGTTCAAATAAATAAGGCTAAAACAGATTTCCAAACTCAAAATGCAATGTCATGGGGAGCTATACAAAATTCACATACGAGCCCATTAGAGACCCAGCAGTGAGGCACCTGCAGGTAAAAGGGAGATAACACTACCAGGTAAGCAAGAGTTTCTGCTAATCCTGCTCCTAGGTTCCCACAAGAGAGAAACTAGAAACAATATGGTGAGAGGACAGTGGAGCCAAAATAAGTATTTCAGAGATACCGCTAGGAGGATAAATGACTAGTTAATATGGGGATGAGAGAAGATGCAGTTGATAAGTATCATTTGAACAGAGACCCGAATCAGTACCATCCAGATGAGGTCAAGGGGAACCAGATCAAAGACATTAAAGGGAGGAGACACTACCGAGGCCTTAGAGCAGAGAAGTGATGTGTCCTAACCTGTGACCACACACTGGTTGTTACAAAGCGGAGGCATGGTCATAGTCAGAGAGCTCTGAGAAAAGATAAAGGCCACCAGAAAGGGACAAGAGACTGAAGAAGAGATGCTGGCCTCTAGATAGGTTTTGAAGATGGAGCCCACATGGTTTCTTGCCCCTCTCCTATCTGTGGTCTTATATAATACATCACAGGAGGAAACATATCTTGACTTCCTTACCAAATTGAAATGTTCAATGAGATGTGAGCACACAGTGAACAGTGAGCCAGCCAAATATGATACCATTATATTCGGTGATATCATGAAATCTGGAGAATCTTTAGTTCATATTAGCAGGTTATGGTGCTTGTGGAAGGAAGGACTGGCATCTAGCATTGCCTAGAACGCTTATGGCATTAAGCTTTGTCTATAGAGCTTTTTCTTCAAATTCCAAATGCAATTTTCAGAAAGAAGACAAATAGGAAAAAAATCAATTAAACCAAACTGATTCCTCAGAAACTAGGGTAGAAGCCACTGTTCCACATTTTAAAGAATTGACTTGATTAAAATTTTTCTGCTTCCTGGGCTGTGTCATTAATATACAGAGATTATAAAAAAATCTGATAACAATTTGCAAAATCAGTATATATGAGAGAAGGGGATTGAAATGAGACATTTAAGTACAAACACAGCAAGAATTTCCACTTAAATTCAATTTACTTTGTAATATATCACTTCTAATACATATATAACAAATACTAAACTACTGAGTTATTTTATTAAAATAAAATCTCCTGACTCACCTTCTTTGGTAATGATCATATTTTACAACAATGTCTTTATAGCCAGCAGTCTCTCCTAGTTATTCTTTAATCAGTCCTTTTGCTTTGTGAAAACAACTTAGCTGTATTATATACACTAAAGATCAATTGCAATTTAGAGTATGATTAATGAGATCATGACGGGAAGTCTAGACATGGCTGTACACTTGTAAGTTCACTGTTGTTGAATTGTTGTTTTTTGTTTGTTTGGTTTTTATTTTTGTTTTTTTTTTTTTTTTCGAGACAGGGTTTCTCTGTAGCTGTGAAGTTTATTGTTTCTATGCCCTTTCACATATTTCTAAATCAATTGATCCTCTACACATCTACAAATAAGAAAATGTTTCACAGTTCAATAGAAAAATGAAAGATGCAAGAAGCTATAGAAAACCTTATTCACACCCTAAGAACAAGAAAGGTTGGACAGATAATCAACAAAATCCTAAATTTTTTGTTTTTGTTTTTTCTAGACAGGGTTTCTCAGTAGCTATGGAACCTGTCCTGGAACTCGCTCTGTAGACCAGACTGGCCTGGAACTCACAGAGATCCGCCTGCCTCTGCCTCCCGAGTGATGTGATTAAAGGCGTGCGCCACCACCAAAATAAAATCCTAAATATTCTTAAACTAAGACTTGGAGCTAAAACTCCAAGACAACCAAGTGAACTGAAAGATAGAGACCGGCTACTCCAGCAGGGCTTGAGAAAAAGTTTACCTGTCGCACAGCATGAAAGAAAGATGCAGCCATCATTTAAACAGGTACAGAAATCAGTCATTGTTTTAAATACTTTATGAGCTTTTTTCCTTTTAGAAGACAGGGTTTCATGTGGTACAGGTTAGTCTCAACTTGCTGTGTAGTTGAATGACCATGAAAGCTTCATCCTTGTGCTTTCTCCAGAGAGTAGGGATTATAGATAAACAACACAATGTCTAGCCTTGAGGGTTCTTCTAATGCTCAAAACAACAATAGATGGATTTCTTGTAGTAGGTGTAGGAATTAAAAACTAGATATAACTATATTAGGAAGTTACGCAAAGAGATTTTTGTGAGTAACAAAGAGGCAAAGAGGCAAGTTCAAAGCTAAGGTATCAAAAGGTAACATCATACATTTAACACTACTGAAGAGCAGACTTAAAATGACTACAGTTGTCAGTTTTATATCACATGATTTTCATCACAGTTACTTTGGCGAGGTCTTAGGGATTAAAGCCATGTAGACACACACTATCATTACCTACGCCTTCAGCTCCAATACAATGGCATTTAAAGACGGATCATAAACATATTCATTAGTGATAACAGAATCATGAACACTGCTTTTCTCTGGAGTCTAATAGTGGGGATAGGAAGAGAAAGGGACTGCCATGTTCACCACAATCCCATGTGAACTGTTGAAACTTCATCTTCTTTAACATGTCCTTATTACTTTCATAGTTTTTTCAAAATCTGAAGCAAAGATTTTTACCTTGATCTGCAAGACATCAAGCGGAACCGTTTCTCCTTTCACAATGGCGAGTGTGGCGTCTGTAATGTGTCTAAACAGGGAAACATGGAGAGGGTCTGGTTGTAAAAGGTAAACACCACCTGCTCGAGAGCACAGAACACATACATGTGTGCATACACACCCAACCTCACATACTCAGAAGCCTAGGATAGATGTCAGGAAAAGCTAGAGTTCTCAAATATTATTATTTTTTAAAAAATATTCTAAGAAAGCAGAAGGAAAGCATGTGAAAGAATTAGCAATTCAGAACAGTATAAAGTTCTTAGAGGTTCATAGAGAAAGATTTGGAGCTTATATAAGATACTGACCATTTCTTTATGTAACATTGACTGAATCACTCCACTGTGCCTATTACTGGGAAATGTGGTACTTAAATACACAATGATAACACAGCACCTTTTAATCAGTGTAAGAAATTCAGTCATTTCCCCCTAAGAACAACTTTCTTCCCAAATAGCCAGATGGTAACTAAAGGACAGGACTTAGAGTTATCTTAGCAAACTATAAACCAGAACCCAAGATATATTTTCTTATTTTCTAGGGCTACAAGGATGTTCTTCATGTTTTTACTGTTAATTCCTTCATTCAAGATACAAGACTCTCCTTACATACATTCTGACAATCTCTTGAAAGATACACACACACACACACACACACACACACACACATACACACACACTTCATCAAAAGTAAATACTATGTATTACACATACAGGCAATATAAAATTATGCCAGATCTGCAAACAAGCCTAGAGTTTGTACTGGAAATTCAAAATCAGACATATATAAGACACAACAGAGGGTCAACAAGGGAAACATGAAGTGGCTAGACAGAAACACATCTGCTCTCATGTGAGAGGATGCATAGACCACATCAGATACCTGCTCGGAATGGCCGTCAACCCTTCCGTTCCCTAGGTGCAGCCATTACAAGTCCGTTCCTCTCATCCCTCAAGTCTAGCAGATGATACCACCCAGAGGGGCCCACTCCTTCCAGCCTAGCAGAAGGTCTTTCACTGTGATCACCACTGAACTGTAGCTGTCCTTTCGTAACCACAGTCTGAACTTATTAACATTATCATTGGCCTCCTGGAGAATAAAAGTTCCCCAAAGCTAGTGACAATTAGTGTACAGACCATGAACTCTCCATCAGCACAGTGCAGGTCAGACAACAGGCAGTCAGTATTTGCTGAGTACAATACTTTATTCTCTAGAATTTCCAGCACATAAACTGCAGATAACTCCTGTATATTCCTCACTCGTATTCAACAACCATCACCTCATGACCAATCTTACTTCACAATCCTGTAAGGCTTAATCAATGAAAGAAAATGTGATACCTTAAGAGTTTATTATGTATCTTCATAAGAGACTTTTATGAGATATTATTATACTTAAAATACTGGCCCACTGTGTAACAACATATTTATTCAGTTCTCAAATTTTAACAATTAATATACACATATATATGTTACCTCCTTTGTTCAAGTCAAGATTCAAACAAGACACATAAATGGTAACGGGCTTGTGTTTTAAATCTCTTTCACTCATTAACTGTTCTATTTTGTTTCGCTATTTATTTAAGAAATATGCCATTTGTCTACTGAGTTTCTGTGACCTTGAACCTTAGCAATTATATGTGTAAGGCCCTGGTATATGTATGCATGTATGTATTATTATATTAGTATTACATTATATATTTATTATTATTACATCAATATATTATTAATTACATTATTATTACATTAATATATAAACCTATATTAAAATTTATTCATATATATATAAATTTTATGTATTTTCTGAGTTAGAATACAAAATTTATATCAATTCAGCCTTGAGATGTTGGCAACAATAATCCCAATGTGGAGTATATACTTTTATCAGAAGATAAAAAACACCTGGTTGTCTTTTGGTGATGATGGGAACTAATGAAAATAATTACCTAGATCCATTCCAAACTAATAAAAAAAAAAAACCTGAATTTTCTCTCCAGTCTGAATTCTACCATTCTTTCTACTTTATCTTCTATCTACCAAAGAACCTTCCCCTCATTAGCAATCTGGATACACTATAATGAAGGTCTGATGGAGGAAGGTCATTGGCTAATAAAGGAACTGCCCTGGCCCATTTTATTGGTTAGAGGATAGGTGGGAGGAGTAAACAGAACAGAATGCTGGGAGGAAGAGGAAGTGAGCTCAGAGACTCCACAGCTCTCTCGGGAGCAGACGCCTGAGAGAGACGCCATGCCCCACTGCCTGAGAGAGACGCCATGCCCCGCTCCTGGCATGAAGCTCCGACCCAGGATGGACTAGGCTAGAATCTTCCCGGTAAGACCGGTTCTCACAGATTATTAGAGATGGGTTGATCGGGATGTGAGAATTAGCCAGTAAGGGCAAGGGCTAAAGGGCCAAGCAGTGATTAAATGAATACAGTTTGTGTGTTGTTATTTCGGGGCATAAGCTAGCCGAGCAGGCGGCCGGGGTGCTGGGAACGCAGCCCCGCTGCCCTTATTACTTCAAAGGTCATATAAGAAAACCAAGATTAGCCAGATGTGGTGGCACGCACCTTTAATCCCAACATTCAGGAGGCAGAGGCAGGTGTATCTCTGTGAGTTCAAAGCTGTTACATAGAGAAACTGTGGCTTGAAAAACCAAAACCAAAACCAAACAAACAAAAACAAGAACAATTTAACTGTTTTAAAACCATGAGACAGGGTCTATGTATCCCAGGCTCGCACTTTGTAGCCAAAGATGGCTCAACTTTGATCTCCCTACCTCTCTCTCCCCAGCGCTGCAATTACAGATGTGCACCAGGGTTTATTCCATGCTGGGATGGAAGACAGGGCTTCATGCTTGCTAGCATTTTGCCAACTAACATCTCTTCTCCCTTTTTCCTATTTATTTCAATAAGGTCTGACTTTGTCCCCCAGTTGACCTTGAACTGGCTACATAGATCAAGCTGACCTTGAACTCACATGCCTCTGCCTTTTGACTGCTGTAATAAAGGCACGCACCACATTGGTCCTCCCCCAACCCTGCCCGATTAAAAACAACAACTCTAAAAACCAGTTTTCTAAATAATAACCTGGTTTCCCATAACACACAAATGTATTCAGTATTTCAATTTTACATGTTTTCTAATTATCACTATGAAAATGATCTGGCATGTTTCAATACACTGTAGATATTCACCTTATTGACACAAAAATAAAGATGGGATAAAGGATCGCTATATAATTAATGGTGAGAGATAGCCACAGAGGTATATGCTGATGTCAACAAAACTCAGAAAAACTAGAATGCATCTCTAATGCTTGCTTAATCAAATAAAGTTATTGAAGTTTGAAAGGATTATGCTTCTTTTTATTGTGAAACTCGTGTGTGTGTGTGTGTGTGTATGTGTTTGTGTGTGTATGTGTGTGTGTGTGTATGTGTGTGTGTGTATGTGTGTGCGTGTGTGTGTGTGTGTGTGTGTGTGTATGGGTGTTGATAGGGATCAAATCCAGTACATTTACATAAAACTTCTTTTTTAGAGCCATCTTAGGCCAGGTTCGTAGGGACATTTAAAGGCAAATACAGAAGTTTCCCTAGATAACCCTTCCCTCCCAGAGAGCTGTTCTATTACCATACCCTCCCTCCCCCAAAACTGGTCTGCTCTTTTGTCACAACTCAAGAATTTCTACTGACTTATTAATGTCATTCAAAATCTAGTTTTGGTCATAGCTGCAGCCTAACTGGGTTGAGATAAGGTTAGTGGCATGTACCCACTATCACAGTACACATAAAGGAATTCAGACATCACACAAATCTCTTTGCACCACTACAAGCCCTAACAACTCTCCCCTTCTTACTGTGGTAATTTTCTAGTCCAGATCTCCAACAGTTGGAGTCATACAGTGTAGCCTTTTCCACACTGTTTTCCTTTACTTGGTCACATGCATCCAAGTTTCTGTTTTTCTGTGGTTCATAGCTAATGTCTTTCTAGCACTGAATGAGATTCCACTGCTTGCATGTACCAGTTTATTAATCCACTTGACAATTGTTTGTTTCTTGCATGAGCAGTGCCAAACCGTCTTCGAAGGAGTTGGTTTGTTCCGAGGTCATCAAACTTCTGGGCCTAGAGTTACCATCCTTTCCATGTCATAGACTCAGCAGCGATGTCTTCTCTTTCATCACTAAAATTAAGCATTTGTGTCCTTTCTAGTTTTTATTTTTCCAGGCTAGAGATTTGTTGACCTATTTATCATTTCCAAGAACTAGCTTTTCCATTGACTTCTATTTTCAATTTATTGAATTCTTATTATTTTCACTTGTTTATTCTGGATATAATTTGTCTTTCCTTGTGTTAATTCTAGATTAAACTTGCTTTGCTCCTCTTCCTGACTTCAGAGGCAATGTCTGAGTTTGTAGCCAGGCTGATCGCAAACTCACACTCCCCCTGAGTCACCTTCCCACGTGAATGCCTCTACAGTGTGACATCACAGTTAATCCTGCTTTGCCTCTGTTCTTATGCATAAATTTTCTCTACATGCTTTAAATTTTCTCTAACCACAACTTACCACCATTCGGTTACCACAGGACACATGCTCGTTGTCAGCACGCATACTTAAAGGAAACCATCAGTGCAAATCTGCCCTCCCTTTACAAAAGGGACTTACAATGCAGAAGGAGAAAAACTGTATGGGTCAGAGATGCCATCTCCGTATCAGCTCCAATGACATTAAGTACTCACCTCTACCCTGACTTCGGGAATTCCTATTAGATTAGGAAGGCACCACAACACAATTGGGAAACACCCCAATTCTCTGAAAGGCTGGATACTCCCTCCCAATAACGTGAAGTTTCAAACTACCAAATCTGCAAATTCGACTGTATCATACATGTGGATCTCTGTCCTAGGCTCTATCACCTACAAAGGTTAGCATTCCATAGTGACAACCTACTGGACTTTGTTTCCACTTTCGGCAAAGAGGGTGTGACTCAAACTACTGGTCTGTCCCAGCGGGATAAATCCAATTGGAATCTTACTGAAGGTAGCCTGGTAAAACAAAAAGAAGAGAAAGTTGTACTGTTATAGTCAGAAAATTAGGTTTAACAGAGAGGCATCTGTGTGTCCTCTATGACAAAGCAACTGGCCTGTGTCTTCCTCCTCATCTCCAATGCCCCCTCCCTATGCCAGTGAGCAAGTACTCCAAGTGAGCATTTTCTAAAACAAAGCAGTCCATGAAAACACAATGATGCAGAATTTAGAAGATATCCTTGGGTGCTCAGTACTTGCAATTATTAGTATGAAACTGGGCTAAGACAGCGACAGTCTTACAGCTACTGGGTCAATTAAGCAGTGTGAGAGTTGCTAAGCTATCACACGTCGTAAGACATATACAGACAAAATTCAACTAAAATATCTACTATTTCTACAGTGACGAGTGACCAGTGACAGGGGGCACTGTTTCATAAGCTATATCAAATACAAATGAGGCAAAGAGTAAGTCAAATAGCTGTCAGTTAATGACATACTAGGTGATTTAACTAAATGTCACATATGTAACAGATACTTAAAGATTCTTAAAGATTATTTTCAATAAATTTCTAACAAAATCCTATAAGCCCACAACCCAGATTTAAGAATATTTATCGTTTTGTTTCTGATGTTTTATGAAATAAATTGGATCTCAAAATTAAAATAAATAAATAAATAAATAAATAAGTAAATAAATAGACAGAGAGACAGATGAAATCCTTTGAGATTCTGTTCTCCTGCCTGCTCTTCGAGGAAATCATTATGCTAGGTTGGTATGACTTTCCCAACTACATTACTTTTTTCTTACTACATACTATGCCACAAATAACACACAGTGGCGGTACTGTTTCCTGCATTCTGAAACCATGTGGAAACATACTCCAGAATCTTACTCTGTAGTTACCATTTCTAAGATCTAAAGATGTAGACACTCATACATCTAGATCATTCCTGTGCATGCATACACGTCTTTCTGTGCACAGGTGTGTGGGTGGTGCTGAGGATGCACAAAGAGGCCAGAGGGCAACTTCCCGGCCTGCTCCCTGGGCACTGTCCACATTTGTCTTAGACAAGTGTCACCCATGGCTTGAAACGTGCAAAGTCGGCTCTCCTGGCCAGCCAGCACCCGGTTACCAGCAGCACCACCGACTACAACCAACTGATTTTATATGAATCCTGGGGAACAAACTCAGGTTCCCGTGCTCACCCTTAACTAAATAAGCCTAATCCATTCATTTCAGGGCTATCTAGTTCCTCTTAGATGAACACATCACTATTAATTTATGAAAGCATTCATTAAAGAAAAGATTCTACAGGAAATTTTTCTATAGTACAGACTATTGTTAAAAGGTACTGGGTACTCTAGATTACCAACACAGCAAGTCCACCATGGGTTCATGAGAGTGACCTATGACAGAGGAGCCAGTATTGCTTCATCTGCTCAAAAATCCAATCCCATCACAACTGCACTGGACTGAAACTATAGCACAAGAGTTGAGCATGGTGGTCTGTGCCTGGAATCCCAGAGACTCCAGAGACTGAGGGAGGAGAATCACAAGTTCAAGGCCAACCTGGGCAACTTATCAGGACCATGTCTCAAAATAAAAATTAAATGAATAAAGAGCTGGAGGTGTAGCTCAGTGGTCCAGTGCTTACCCAGCATTCACAAAGCCCTGGATTCAATCCGCAGTATAGCATATATTTGTATGTGTATATTGATATATACATGCATGCATACATATAAATACATACATTATTTTATACATTATATAAACATAATGCATAAATATAAATATGTATGCATGAATCATGAGGAGCAAAAGACAAAAAAATGACAGCAAGTAAAACGTAAATTTATTGTTACAAGCTCACCTCATCTGTCCTTCGAAGGACTCCAGTAACAACCTATAAGTGTAAAAAAATTATTATAAACAACATGCATTTCCTTTATCATAACAAAATTAGATTCAAATTTCATGGACCACAAACTTACTTGTTTTCTTCCAGAAACAATGTTAAATGATGTCCTAGATCTTAAAAACACATCAATTTCTCAAATATGATCAAGGCTAAATTGGATTTTATTTTTAACCTATAAGTAATAATAAAAACTAAGATAAATTATAGAAATTCCATATTACATTAGGAAAACTGTGTTTCAAGGTCTACAAAACCTAGCTTTACTAATGTTAATGTTGTAGGTTCAATAGAAATCTGAGCTCTTTTCAATTATACAGAAAAGTCTATGTTACCCCTTTGAGATACATAGACAAAACGATGCCTTATTATAATCAGAAATCTATACTCGAGTGTTTCTTCCTAAGGGCTATAAAGACAAGGGGCTAAACAAGTAGTGTTAATCACTTCTTTATTTTATTTATTCCACCTTTGAGACAGGATCTCATTAGGTAGTCTAGACACACAGCATTCCTCCGGCCTCTCCTGGGTTCCTGGAAGCAGGTGCGAGCGGTCATCCCTACCCAATTCGTTCTCTAGCCAATGTCTACTTTAATGTGTAAGAGCGCACCAAATATACAAAACACTGTCTTTCTTTAAAATTATTTTGTAAAAATAAAGATTGACACATCTCATCCCTTTATCTTGTCCCACCCAGCTCACTGGGTTTCAGTATTAAATGGGCTGTCAGTGGTCTACCTCATCCATACAGAACTCTTTCAGTATTAAATGGGCTGTCAGTGGTCTACCTCATTCATACAGAACTCTTCACATCTCATCAGTAAGCTATAAAAACAACTACAAGATCGTTAGCAGAGAATTTTAAAAAAGAAGGTTACTAAGGTTCAAATGACAGCCAAATAAAAAACAGGACAGTCTCTGCTGTTCCTTTCTGATCCCTTACAATGATGAACCAAAGAGAGTTCAGTCAAAGGCAACCATAATGTAGTGTGGGTGTACAGTACAGCATCTGGTAAAACTGATGAACCTGCATTAAAATTACAATCAAAACTTTATTGTTTAGATTGTTGTTACGCCATGCGATGCACATTACAGGTTTCAATAAACAGGTAATGAAACCTAGACATCAGTATCATCTCTACAGTATTTTCATTGCCCTAAAAGGCCTGTGTGCTGACTGCTCATCCTCCCCTTCTCCCGACTTCAGGAAACCTCTTCACCTTTCTACACTTGAATGGCCACGAGTCAAACAGTTGAACTGTAAACTATGTATTTTCATGCTTTCTTTCACTTAGTAATAAACACTATGATTCCTCCAAGTCTTGTCATAACAATAATTCTTATTTTTCCATGCTAAAGAATCCATTACTTGGATATGCAACTCTACTTACCCATTGACTAATTAAAAGGCACCTTTATTTCTTCCAAGTTTTGTCAATTATAAATAAAAACACTATAAACATCCAAGTGTAATTTTTTACTTGTATGTACAATACCTGTGAACTCCTCTGGATAACTTCCAATGAGCACAATTGGTGGACTACAGGGTAAGAGTATGTTCAGTTTTATGGGAAACCATTCATTTTCCATTTTGGTTATCTTAGATTTGGGTTATTCTAATATGTAAAGTGACTAAACCATTCGGCATTCCCACCATAAATGAATGATAGTCCCTACTCAACCACCCTCATCAGCATTTAGTATTGCCTGTGTTCTGGATGCTGGCCATTCTAATAGGTGTAACATCTGACTAAGGGTAAGCGATATTAATATTAGAACAAAGACAGGGCTAGGGATAAAGCTCAGGAGTGCGATCTTGCCCAGCATACAAGAGGTGTGTTCTCTAGCACTGGCTGCCAAACAACCTTAAAAGTGACAGAAAAATAGAGAGACGCATACATGTGACCAAGCAGCACCTCGTCCTATAAATGCAGTACTAAGAGTTAGCTTTCTACACAACAGGGGTGATGTGAGTGGGCAGAGAGGTGTTTTCTTGAGAGACACTGTCGTCTGAGGAGACCTTGTCCTCAGTGAACCCATGAGGCCATCACAGAGCTGCTGTGCACCAGGATGCACAACATAACAGGTTCAGCCCATCCGTACCCATTCTGCCTCCTGTCTCAGTCAACGTCTGAGATCTAATCTTGCTGTGTAGTCCAAGATTAACTGCAACTCAAGATCTCCCACTTCATCCTAAGTGCTTATATTTATAGAGCCTTGTTTGTTTTATTTAATTTCGTCAAACAAAATTTATTGCATATAATCCCTTCTTTTTGCTGGGAGGAAGGTTTACCAAAAGCAAGGAAGGAAAAGTACAGGAGCAAAGCTTAGGGCTGTATTAGCTGTGAGCAACAGCCCTAAAATAATGAACTCCAACAGTTTCCTTAATTCTTGTCGCCACTGTTCTAGAACTAATTTTTATTCTTATCCCCTTAAAAATGTTCCTGGATGGGGAGGGGAGGATCCTACCTCCTGCAGTGTCCCATCTCCTCCAGCAACGATGATCACATCTGTGTTTTCCATCAGTTCCAAGAGCTTCTTGGCCTGTCCCTCATAATCTGTCTGAAATGTAAAAGAACGCTCTGGTAAATCTGTCACTGTAGGAACACAAGTTCAAAGGATGAAAAGATGAGATACGCTGTCTAAAGTTTAAATTGACTCTATTTTCTCAAGAAAATTTTATGAAAACAACTAGGTATGAATTTTTATACTTTTATACTTTCTGAGTCAGGATTATACTTCAGAAACTATCTACTCAGCTCCTTATTTTAAAAATAAATTCAAGCCCAATAACTTGTTTCAGTGATACAGCTAGTCAGCCAGCGGGCTCATTTCCAGTCCAGTGTGGCTTCTGTGACACTGGTGACAGGAAGTCAAGTGCACATGCAAATGGGGAAGCAGATGTAATGGAAAGAGCACAGACTGCAGCACCCAAGAGACCCACAGCAAATCTAGGCTCTGCTACTTTTCAGCTGAATGGGCTTAAACTCACTGGATCTTAATTTCCTCATCAATGAATTTCCATGCATCAAGGGAAGGGTAACCAAGGCTTCCTGCACTATTGCTGCACAGCACAATCTAAGGCAGCTAGAAAAGTGTTTGCAACTGGAACTCTGCTAAGGTGATGGAGATTGGTATTTTTCTTTTGTTTGCTATGATATTACAAAAAATGCAGGTGTGTTTTGAAGTTCTCACAGAAGAGTACTTCACCTTCCCATTTTTTATAAGAATGCTCATCTCAGATACATGCATACATGTAAATGTACATTTCAGCCACCACCAGGAGTGCATTGATGTGTACGGCCCTGAAGACAAATGTTAAGAGATTAAAGGGCATAAAGTCAGTGAAATAGAAATATTACCTCCAATCCAAAACACACTAGACACACCAGCAGGCCAAACCTAAATACTAATCATCAGACGGGATAAAACACCTGTAGTATAATTTGAACTATCTGGGCTTTGTGCTCTGTTCTAGCAGAGAGCTCTGAAGATACAGAAGATCTCCGATACTCACAGGAAGCGCCCCTCACACACCAGACTATGTGCTACAGAGGTAGCTTTGGGAGGATCCCTGGGTGGCTTGGAGATGGGAGCTGGTCACCAGAGAGCAGCAGATGATTTAACGGTTAGAACTGTGAGCTCCTCACCCTGACTTCCAGGGAAGAGAGAGGAGCCCAGGTGAGCTTGTTCATCAGGGCTCAATGATTTCATCTGTGTCCTTTTAAAGAAAATGGCCTTCAAAAGGGGTAGCACTATTAGGAAGTGTGGCTTGTTGGAGGAAATGTCACTGTCAGGTGTTGCAGGAGGTCCTTCTGCTCCTCCAGCCAATAACCCCTGAGATACCAGCCCATTGGGGCGTGGTCTCTCTCTTTAAAAAAGCGGCCTCTTCCCTCCTTGCTCTCTCTTACTTCCTGCTCTGCTTCCAGTGACTAGACTCCTTCCTGATTGCACAGAGGGCTGTTGTCTGGGATGGTGATCTGTAAGTTTTTTCCCCTTTAAATAAATACCACCTTATTAATCATAATTCCAAACTGCTGTGGAATTGTTTGTGACTTACACCTTCACCTGGCGCCCAACGTTTGGTTTTAGGACCTCTCCTTCCCCTGCTTGGCTGATGGCCATGAGTTCCACTTGGTGCAAGCCCTCCCTTCCTCAGCCACGGCCTGTGCCTTGAGGCCTGTGCCTTGAGCTTGGAGCTGGTCATAGACTGGAAATGTCTCCTAACAGTCTTTGGAAGTCATTAAGAGTCTTTAACCGGTTTCTCCTAATTTGTGCCTTTTGCGTTTTAATTTTCTCTAACCCTATTCTGTAACCTAGGTAATTAATAGAGTTTCCCTGAATCTTTTCAGGGGCAATTTGTAATCCCCACCTAGGCAAGACTTTCTTTTAAGGACTTCCAAAGATTGTTAGGAGACATTTCCAGTCTACGACCTGCTGTTGAGAAAACACCTGATCTAATAGTTCATTTAAACAAAACCTTAGATGGTGATAAAGATTTGAATAGTCCAAGAAAACTGACAGATGAAGCAGAAAAGGAACTGACAATGATTGAGGAAAAATTACAGGAGGCACATGTGGATAGGGTGAACCCAAATCTTAGCTGCATCCTAGTCATATTGCCTTCCAGAATTTCTCCTACAGGGATTCTAATGCAGAGGGAAGATAGTATTTTAGAGTGGATATTTATACCTAATAAACCAAGTAAAAATATTAAAAACTAAATGGAAAAAGTCTCTGAATTAATTATAAAAGGTAAGCTGAGACTTCGTCAACTAGCAGGTATAGACCCAGCAGAAATTATAGTGCCTTTTACTACTGAAGAAATAAAAAAGTTATGGGAAGACAATGAACCGTGGCAAAGAGCTTGTGCTAATTTTTTGGGAGAAATTAATAGCAACTATCCCAAAAGTGGTAGACTTAATCTCACAAAGAGAACTTCTTGGATTCTTCCTAGAATTGTACGTGATGCTCCAATAACTGGAGCCCGTACGTTCTATACTGATGCAAATAAATCAGGGAAAGCAGGTTACAAGTCAGATGAATTGAGTAAGGTGGAACAAAGCCCTTATAATTCTGTCCAGAAGGCAGAATTATATGCCATTCTTATGGTGCTAAGGGATTTTAAAGAACCTCTTAATATAGTTACAGATTCACAATATGCAGAAAGAGTTATTTTGCATATTGAAACCGCTGAATTTATACCAGATGACACAGAGTTGACTTCATTGTTTATCCAGGTACAAGACATAATCAGGAATAGGCTTTGTCCGATGTATATAACACACATCCGGTCTCATACAGGTCTGCCTGGTCCTCTAGCACAAGGCAACACTGAGATTGATCAATTATTGATTGGAAGCGTGTTGCAGGCCTCAGAATTTCATAAGAAGCATCATGTCAATAGTAAAGGCCTAAAGAAAGAATTTTCCATTACTTGGCAACAAGCTAAGGACATTATAAAGAGATGTCCTACTTGTTCTTTCCATAATCAAACACCGTTGCCTGCAGGGAGTAACCCAAAGGGTACCAAGAGAAATGAAATCTGGCAGATGGATGTGTTTCACTTTATGGAATTTGGTAAATTAAAATATGTACACCACACCATAGACACATATTCAGGTTTTCAATGGGCTACTGCCCTGAGCTCAGAAAAGGCTGATTCAGTAATCACACATTTATTGGAAGTTATGGCCATCATGGGTATACCTGCACAAATAAAGACAGATAATGGTCCAGCATATGTATCTAAGAAAATGAAACGCTTTTTTTATTATTATAATATAAAACACATTACAGGTATACCAAATAATCCTACAGGTCAGGCAGTTATAGAAAGATCAAATTGTACTATAAAGGATATGCTGAACAAACAGAAAGGGACCGAAAATACCCCCAGAAATAGATTACATAATGCTTTATTAACCTTGAATTTTCTTAACGCTAATGAGAAAGGAACGACAGCAGCAGAAGGACATTGGATAATGGAAAAGTCTGCTGAACTAAATCAACCGATTTATTTCAAAGATGTGCTGACCTCTCAATGGAAGCCAGGAGATGTGCTACATTGGGGAAGGGGTTTTGCTCTTGTTTCCACAGAAGAAAAATTGTGGATACCATCAAAATTAATAAAGTTTCGATTTGAAGAGGAGAAACCTCTTGGAAAGGAGAAATGACAGCTCATCCACAATGATGATATTTATACAAGTGGTAAGAAAAACATATAGAATGGGGGCAGGGTTCTCTTCTTATCTCTGCAGGAAAACACTCATCTTCAGAAAATTCAAGGAACCCTGGATATTTGAATACTGACAGATGGAAACTATTTACCACCCAATAAGAATCAGCAAGTAAATAAAATAGGTCTCGTAAGTAAAATTATTCTACTCTTATCTTTAAATATGTATTAATGTGCATTTATTTATAAATATATAGAGCTGGTTTTGAAGTTGGACTATGGCTCAGTACCTCTCCAATTCCTAGCCTGTTGGTAAGAGAAAAACCCAGAGTTTCTGGAGTTTCTGTCTCATGTCAAGAGCCATGATATGGGACAGCAAGAAATATGAGTTTAGAAAACATCTTTGCTTTTCTTCATATCTATTATACTTTTCATTGAATATATCTATCATGCCTTTCATTGAATATATATATGTATATATGTCTATATATGTCTATATGATTAATGTTTAAGTTTTTCACAATGAACAATGAGTTTTTCCTGAAGTGACATTTGAAGTTTCCAGGAAGAAGATGGGGCCCCATAACAACAACTCTACCTGGTTGATATGACGTCATGATACTGATAGCGCTACTACAAGACCTGTTTTGGGTACCAGCTGCACAAGACAGTTCCAACTTGGTTAGCTGAAATGGTGCACATCTTATACAACATTTTGGCCAGACCTGCACAAAATACTCAGAGACTATTTGCAATTTTAAAAGACATTGATCTTGAAATTTAACCATCATTTTACTTTCACAGGATCCCCCAGAAAGAACGTCGACCCCATAACAGCTAGAAGTAATTCTAGAGGACGACGTCCCCTCTCCCAGTAAAGTTTGCCCTTGGGTTTAGGGACATCATTTAGGGGTTGATTATAATTAGTATACGTTTGACGGTTGGGGGAGGAATTTTATAAGCTCAGGGATCATTTGAAAAAAAAAAAGACAGATAATGGGATGATGGTATAATAGATTGGTACATGTTGGTACACGTGAGTTATTGTTTTGAGTCAAATATATTGGTATCGATTCTTATATATTGATACAAAGTGAAATTATATTGACTATTGTATGCATGCATGTTTCCACCTCTGTTTAAAACATTTTTATGTATTGACATATATTGTATTGATATATATATATTGTATATATTTACCATATTGCAGTGTACATTTCTACCTCTGATTAAGATACTTATATAATGTTTGTGTATTGATATATATTTACCATACTGCAATGTATATTTGTACATTGTTTATATTTGGAGGTCATTGTCCTCATTTGTTTCACAGTCGTTTATTGTCTTAGTCTTTAAAGTTAGATAGATATTGAGAATTATATAGATCAATAGTCATCTAAGTTTGTCATTTATAATTAGACTAATCAGGTTCTTTAGATATATAGAGATTATACTCAGTATGGATAGATAATCTTCAACCTCTTCAAAGAGCTGTAGAAAATGGCCTTTAATCTAACTCAGAGTTTCATGATAGTGAAACACAATTGCTCTTGGCAGCACCAATCTTTTCCCGAGAGAATGTTGAGCACCAAAGACACTCCACCTGGAGCCTATCTTTTTGGCTGAACTGGTCTTTGGGCAAAGAAATGCCCATACCTCAACCACTGACAGAGATACAAAATATCCATGAATGGAAAAAACAGGACTGTCATGTCTGGAAGCGGAGCAGGAAGTAAGAGAGAGTAGAGACCTTTTTCTCAAGCCTCACTCAGTGTGACAGTCAGTCTACTTCCTGTTGCTCTGAGTCAAGATGTGGGACTCTCAGCTCCATGTCTCCTGTGCAGCCATGCTTCCCTTCATGATCATAAAGGACCAACCTCTGAAAATGTAAGTGAGCCACCCTCAACTAATGTTTTCTTGATAAGAGTTGCGTTGGTCACTGTGTCTCCTCACAGCAATAGTAAACCCTAGACTTCATCCATGAGCTCCACACAGGAACTCCTACACGTACATTTATGTCAAGAGAAATTATGCACAAACAGTAAAATGTTAGTACTCTGGGTGAAGTAGATAAATATATATGTTTTGTTTTTGTAACTCATTTTGCATATCCAAACTTTTTTCCAAATAAAACTTAATATAAAAGATAAGAAATCAACCTTTCAAAAACTAATAATTTCAACTAAACTAATAAGAAGAAAATATTAATATTTCTACTAAGATTAAAATTTCTAATACCTATTTTCTGAATATGTAAGATAAATCACATAATAGTTTTCATATGTAATTGCTGAGTATCTTAAATTAGAAAAATCATAGGCTTTTCGTATTGAGAAATTTTTTTTTGCCTATCTTTTTTTTCTTTCTTTTTTTTATTGAGAAAAGGAAAAAAAAGTATCCACCTCCTCCCAGCCTCCCATTTCCCTCCCCCTCCTCCCACCCTTCTCCCCCTCCCCCCACTCCTCCCCCTCCCTCTCCAGTCCAAAGAGCAGTAGGTTCCCTGCCCTGTGGAAAACCAAGTTCCGCCCCCCTCCAACCATGTCTAAAAAGGTGAACATCCAAACTGGCTACGCTCCCACAAAGTCAGAACATGAAATAGGATCAAAACCCCGTGCCACTGTCCTTGGCTTTTCATCAGCCCTCATTGTTTGCCATGTTCAGAGAGTTCGGTTTTATCCCATGCTTTTTCAGTCACAGTCCAGCTGGCCTTGGTGAGCTCCCAATAGATCAGCCCCACTGTCTCAGTGGGTGGGTGCACCCCTCGTGGTCCTGATTTCCTTGCTCATCTTCTCCCTCCTTCCGCTCGAGAAATTTTTAAATTTGTTTGGTCTGAAGATGTCATTATAGGTACGAAGGAAACTGTCCTTTCTTGTTAAAACATATACAGTCAAATGTTTAGGGAAAAAATGTGACAGTGTTTTATTTACATCAGAGAATGCACCTACTCTGTGAGGATGGTTGGTGAAGACATGGGCCACACAACCGTCACCTCAACCTAACATGTGAGTGGGGCCATCAGAAGTATGCTCTACCCAATCCACTAAGGATTCCTGAGGAGACTAACACCGACTGTTGACCAACAAGATCCTGATCAGGAAATCAATATCTGAGCTAAGGCGCTAAGTCCTAATGCACAGCTAGCAGAGAAATGGGTTTACACATAATATGCAGTTGGCAGGAGAGAGGGCTCAGTCACTAAAAGCTGAGGTCCACATGCAAAATCTACCAACATAACAAACGTTTATGGACCAAATTGTCTTTAAACTGTCTTGTGTTTATTCCTTGAGAATTAATCATCTCAAGATATAAACATAAAAAGCAGACAAAACTGTCTATAGAAATGGGCAAATGCACAATCATGCTAGGAGATTTGCAACTCCGTGACAGGATAGCTTAAAGTTATTATTATCAATAAAAACAAAATAAAAAAATTAAAAAGGGGAGGAGAAAAGTTTGCAGTACACAGTGAACAGACTTGGATGCAGGTCATAAACAGAACACAATTTATCAGTTGATATGAATTACTCTTAGGCATGCACAGAACACTCATAAAAACAGACACAAACACCAATCCCAATAAGCTTTAAGATCCTGAACTTATATAGACTATGTCTTTGACAACAATGCAGTTAATTCAGAAATCACTGACAAAATGATAACCAGAAAAACTTAGATCTAGAAATAAAATAGCTCAAAGGCCAAATAAAAATCACGATGGAAATGAGAATATATTAGAAATGATAATGAAAGAACTGTGTCAGAGGTCATGGGACATGGATACATGAATGAAGCAACAGAGTTTAGAGCTTTAAATACATACTGGGGGGGATAAAATCAACCCATGAGAGCAACACAACAGAGAACAGAAAAACTAAATACATACATACGTACAAACATAACTGAAGAAAATAATTTTTAAAGAAAGACAGAAATGAACCAACCTTGTCAGTGAGAAAATCAACAGGCAAACTGGGTCTTGAGCAGGAACTAACTAAACTGAAAACCATCTTGGGGACTACAGAGCAGACGCAGCTAAGGTGGGGGGTGAAGTGGACAACCACACAAGCTACAGAAAGTTAAGAGATGACAGGAGCACATTACGGACAACTGGATGACAACTGACTTGAAGACCAAGGAGAAGGAATGAATTCCCTGAAGAACATACACTGCCCAAGAGAAACAGAACTTCCGCACTGGCTGTACTATTTGGAAAGCCATGCAGTGTCTCCCCTCAGCAAAGCTCCAGGCCCAGAGTTTACCCGAGAGTGTCATCAAATGATAAGGAACTACTATTGGTCTTACAGCATCACCCTCAGGGCTCTCATCCCTAGACTGCGGCACATATAGATGCTCATGAAAATGGTTTCTCCTTTCTCCTGACCCCAAAGGCAAACAACTATAAGATCAAGCCTGACAAGTTAGAAAAGAGAATTCAAAAGTGAATGGCCAGTTACAGGACATGACCTTCTAATTGCTAAGAGACACTCAAAGTGTAATTTAGGAATAGAATACTATCAGTCCAGTCAATACTCTAGGATGGAGAAGGAGGGGCTTAGGAGTTGTCACCACTAATTAAGGAGCTAGTGCTAACTGGTGGCTTCTCAGGAAGAAAGAGATAAGTTGTCATTAAGGGGCGGTCCCTGGTAGGTCCACTACACTCCAATGGAGGGCAGCAAACAATCCACTGAATTATTATTATTATTATTATTATTATTATTACTATTTTGGTTTTTTTCGAGAGAGGCTTTCTCTGTAGCTTTGGAGCCTGTCCTGGAACTAGCTCTTGTAGACCAGGCTGGCCTCGAACTTATAGAGATCCGCCTGCCTCTGCCTCCCGAGTGCTGGGATTAAAGACTTGCGCCACCACCACCCAGCTATTGAATTTTTTTTTAATTTATTTCTTTATTAAGGATTTATTGAATTTTTTTAAAGATATAAAAACGAAGGGATTAAGGATCTAGGAGGTACAATAGAGGGACAGATCTGAGATGAGTTGGGGAAGGAGTAGGGGATGAGAATTATCAAAATACATTATATGAAACTCTCAAAGAATTAATAAAATACTCTTAAAAACAGTACTTTAGCAAGGAGGCATATATGCAAGTGTCTAGAGGGAAGAAATGGAAGGGGGAAATGATGCAATCATATTATAATTTCAAAAATGTTTTAAGAAGAAATAAACCCAGGTTTGAAACACTGGAGGGAGCAGGGGCTGACGAGATGGCTCAGCAGTAAAGTGCACCTGCTGCTCTTCCTGCAGATCTGGTTTGAGTCCCAGCACCCACATGGTGGCTCACAACTGTCTATAGCTCCAGTTCCAGGGAACACAACATCCTCTTCTGGCTTCTGCAGTCACTAGGCGTGTATGTAGTGTACGTACGTACACACAATTCTCTTTAATTATTTAAAAATAAATATAGCAGAAAGCTGGTTTGGACTAAATGCTCACCCCACACATACATACATATGCCACCTGAAGTTCACCAAAATACCTTCTATAGATACAAGGTATATGTGCAATGCACAACATAGAACGAATTCTCCTTAATTAATTAAAAATAACAGGTGGTTTTGAATAAATGTACTCCCCCCACACACAAACACAAACGCCATTTGAAGTTCACCATAATGGAAACCTGAGGCAGAATCTAAAATTTACAATTTCTCCTAAGTCATGTTGCCTAAAATCTCAAAACTCTAATGATTTACTTTTTAAAATTCCCAGTCACTAATAATTCTTTACAAGGAAGAAAATGTTTACCTGCTAGTGGAACTACGAAGAAATTAAACCAGTTAAACTGTACGGCTTTGTATTTTGGGGAACACACTCTGACAACTAAGAGATAACTCCACCTGCTGCCTCTCAGATGGAAAGTATAGGGTCCCCACACACCCATGTGAGCCCGTGCTCCACACACCCATGTGAGCCCGTGCTCCACACACCCATGTGAGTTGTATTCCACACACTCATGTGAGCCTGTGCTGAAATGAAAAGCAGACAAAGTCAGGAGAAAAGAAAGCTTCTTTGAGTAATTAGTAAAACAAGACATAACATTGATTTTCTTCTTGTCTTAAATGGAAACCTGACTTCTGTTTAGAAGGTAAGAGCAAAGGACACATGAGAGGTGGCCTTGTGCAAACAAAGACTTGAGAGTCTTTCTCACCTTGACAACCGTCACATCCATGCCAGACAGGTGTAAAATTGGGGCAGCATTTTTCTCAAATAGAGCTCTGGCTTTGCTGTAGACAAAGAGGGGGGAAAAAAACCACAATTATTTAATACACATTCTAAAGCTGAGAATACAATTTAACCATGTGCCCTAGAGAACACAGACTTGATTTGTTCAAGAATAGGAAGTTCACAGTGAGTTCCCATAGGTAGAAAAACAGATTGTCCCTTGTCTCATACAATCAGCTTGTATACATTTGGGATGCTACATTCTCTAGACAAACAATCAACAGTCAAACAACAAAGCCTGACCCCCTCAGAACTCCCATGGCAGGCCCAGCAGAGAAGAGAACGGACGGACACAGGGCTGGCCTGCAGACCTGGCTCTCAGAGCACATGTGCTCTCCTGCAGTTGACCATACTCTAAAGGGAATAGAGGTATTTACTGCAACATTAGTGATAGGGCCCAGGGCAACAAAACAGACTCACTTAACCCTTTACTAATCAGTTTGCTCTTCTGGGAAGAGACACACCGTTTTTAAAGTGTAAACACTATGGGTCATCCCAAATCGAGAAAGATAAAGAGTTTTTTCCATGACAGCTGAGTTTTTGCTAGGAAAGGAAGCATCAAAGTTATCCCTTAGGATGGATGACTAACAAGGATAACTAACAAGGAGCTGGTCTACATCTCCCAAGCACAGACGCCATCTCTGTTCCTCTAGCATTTGATACATCTGTCCATCAACAGTGCTTTCAATGCATGATGAGGACAGCTTTCACACTGTCTTTAGCACAAGACAAGAAACTTGCAAAAACAGTTACCAGTCCTTAGTAATTCTTGAATCCTCCAACTTCTAGGAGGGGATATTCAAAGGTATTTACTAAGTATCTGATGAATTAGTGTAAGAATGAATCTGAATAAATCCCCACATGTAGGCAGATGAATTCTGCGGAAAGGCAAAGATGATTGCGATATCGTACTGGCTGTAATATCTTACAGTTAGAGGAATCATCAAGCAGCCTTGGATGGCTTTGTGCATTTCTCATGAGCATCATTCCATCAGTGCAATCTCGTCCAATCCAGGTCAAGATTCAGAAACAGTCTAGGGCTCAGAGGCAGAAGTAGCAGAATGTCTCTTTGCATGAATGGTAGATTTGAAATCAAATAAATGTCAAAATATATCAACTAGTTGGCCAGTCTTTTACCCTGGCATTTTCAACTATCACACATGCACACAGTATTAAAACATCTCACTACTACCTACATATTTACTTAGCTCTTTTCCTAAAACAGTTTCCTTAAAAACGAGTGATGTATACCTTACCTTTCTTAAGAATATTTGTATGAGAAATACAAAGGCAGCTAAGAAGGAGCACTTAAGGGCTGAACACAGAACAAATTCGCCATCTTTACTGAAAGCAAAACCACAAATTGCACACAAAAGGAAGATTATCAGCAACTTCAATGGAAGCTGAAAAGACTGCACAAGATTCCACAAGAACCATCAAGGCTCTAAGTGGGAACAAAAGCAAGTTCAATATTTGCCACCTTTCCTGGTGCTGAATAATTATCAGTAGGAACATAAAAAGCTACATGGAAATGAGTCCCCTCTTCCCCTCCACCCCTTCTGCACCATAACAAAAGGAGAAGCTGGGGACATTGTGAGGGATGCCTTCACTGCTGGAATGATAAGAACAGAACAGCAGGGAGTGGATCAGACCATCCCCTAAAAGCAGAACTCTGGTCTCAATCTGTCAGATCAATCACACCAAATCTGTAGTCTCTATGAGCTCCAGAGAAAGGACTCGAACATTTGCTGTTCATTTACATCTTTACATGAGGTCACAGGTTCAGAAAACCTCTAAAATAAGCAAAGACTTTTCTCCAATTGAAAAACACATGTTGCCAGTAAGAAATACATTATTCATTATATAATTAAGGGTGCACTACCACCAGGCCTGAATAAAAACTTTATGTACTTACAGCAATTTCTAGACTCAGGCCGACACAAGATAATTCCTCTTTAATGTATTATTTATTAACACTAAACACACAGTTATCTTATTTCTTAAGGTTCTCCTGAAGTTTTAAACCAGTCCTACAGAACAAGATAGCTGCGCAATAAATTATACATTGTATTAGTGCATGGACATGATGACAAAAACCGTGCCATTAAATAGTAAAAGCTTTGAAACAAAAGGAGCTGGAGAGTTTAAGAGCAACTGTGTCCTACATGCATGTGGAGATATACCTTGTTATAGGAAGAAACGCACTCAGGAAAGGCCATCTGTGGCAGCATCTTAACCTGCCTTTAGATAAAGTATTATACTTGCAAACAAGAATCTGCTTTAACTTCAAAAATATAAATCGGGGCTGGAGCGAAGGCTCAATAGCTAACGCTGCCTGAACAAGCTCAAGTGTGAAGATCTGGAGTTCTGATCCCAAAACTCACATAAGTGCCCAGTGGGTGTGATGGCAGCCAGGCCTCTGAAGACAGGGCTGGGATCCCCACAGCAGACATATTGGCAAGCTCTGAGTTTGATTGAGAGACTTTGCCTCAATGAATAAAATGGAAGAGCAACTGAAGACAGTCCCTACATCAACTTCAGGCCTCTATAAACATGTGCACACATGTGCCCACACATATGCATGCACACACACACACATGAACACACGTATGTTTATGTTCATGTAGTTATATATAAGATGTAAGAGGGACCTAAATCATCTATAAAAAATTAAGTTTGTTGGGCTGGAGAGATGGCTCGATGGTTAAGAACACTGGCTGCTCTTCCAGAGATCCTGAGTTCAATTCCCAGCAACCACACGGTTGCTCACAACCATCTATAATGAGATGTGATGTCCTCTTCTGGCATAAAGTCAATAGAGCTGCCATATACATAAATAAATATATAAATACATCTTTAAAAATTAAATTTGTAAATATAAAATAATGTGGCCTAGGGAAAAAAGCAAAACAGCAGAAAAAAGCCAAACAACAAAAATCCCACTTCTAAGGAAGGAAGAACTTACAATAGTCAATTCTATCTTAAGGAAACTGCCAAAACTCTGTCACCAGAAACTGAAGGTTTCTAAAGGACAAGCACAACAGGCAGCTACCTTTAAAGAAAGTGAAGGGGCCGTGGAAGAAATCTTGGGAGAAGTGAGAGTGTGAGGTGGAGAACATTCTGAACCCAGCCAGACACTGGCAGCAGCAGACAGTCCCCAGGACTTTCTATAAACAATAACACTCAGAAGCACCATCCCACTTAACAAAATAAAAAAGACATCTGTGTTCTACATACTAACTCTTACAGTCTGTGTTTGGTTTTGTGTCTCTTTTGTTGTTTAGTTTTATAGCTAAGTAAACTGAAAATTTACGTGGCTGAGTCACTCGGAATATTCTAGAAGCAGAACAAAACACACACACACACACACACACACACACACACACACACACACACTGAACTCTCTGCTTCCTTCACCAGGTCACAGTGACTGATGGACTGGGTATTTCAGCTGTGCTGTTTAAGGACCTAGCAATATGATTTATTACTGATGTGAAACCCGGTGTTTATGAAGAAGGGGAGAGGCGTGAGAAAGCCTAGCAGTAGTCTATTAAGCAAGGTTAATCTACATAATCAGGCACAATTTACAGAACGGGTGCATACACCACTTAGTGTGGAGTCAAGCTCAAGCTTCCCCAAAAGATCATACATATCCCCCAAATTGACTTTGAGGCCCCTGCTCCTTTTTGCTCCATTTGCCTGGACATTTAAAACCTGACCCTAACTACTCATTACCAATGTCATGTGACTTCAATTTTATAGCATCCAACCTAATAAATATTCACAAATTACTCAAGACTCAGCACAACTGATCTAGACACTGGGAAAACAATAGGCATCATTTTTTTCCTCTTCTATTCTTTCATTCTATTTTATAAAATATAAATCTTAAATTGCTTTTTTCCAAAATGGTCAGTGTCTTTGTATTGATCTCCCCAACCGCCTAACTAACACTGTACACTTTCTTTTTTCTGTTCTGCATTTTCCCCTCACTTATAATCACTTTGATTCCTCCGCACCCTCTCCTCGCCTTCACAGTACCCCTCCATTTCATTGAGTACACACGGCCAAGAAAGACAGCATTGTAAACAAAAGCCCAGCTTTCCTCACACTGAATTCCCTCCGCACAATCCCTTTGTACATCAGTTACTGAGGCACACGGTCTTTCTTCTCCCTATCACCGCCCTATTGGCAGCATCCTCGTTTGGGAATAATGAACATGCTGCTACAGGACCAGCTGAGGATTCCCTTCTCTGGAAAGAGCACACTGTCCTCCTGAGTCCACAGTGCTCATGGTCATCTCTACATCTTTGTCTATGGTGACAGCCTGACACCATTAGTAAAGCAGGGCGACAATCGTTCCCAAGATGATCACTCCCAAGCTGACACAAAGCCTCGGTGTTTGTTGAAGGTCAGACCACCTATGGTTACTTGACAGGAACCTGTTACTTCTACTTTGAGAGTAACTCCTGTGGCTGTGAAGTATTGGTCCCAGTCATTCTGGTCCTACACAGCCTAACCACCTGCCTGTGTGGGGATTTTATCTTTTGTCTTTAGAAACACTGAGTACAGAAAGTCACAAGCTGAAATACCCTTTGCAGGCCGCAGGATTGAGAAAGACTGTGGCTTTCTTCACTTGTGCATTGGGAGGAATGAGCTGGTTGCCAAACACCTGAAAGGGAAAAGAGGAGTTTTCAATTAAATGCCCTTTATTAAGCCAAATAAATGAATAATTATCATGTATTAATTATCACATACATTTTTTTCATCCCCAAAGAATTTACTTCTGGCCAAAGAACAAAAGCTCATTCATGATCTCCATAACAGAACCACCACAAGCAACGTAACACAGGGACACAGCTATTCAGTGACAGTAAGCCATTTTACGTTAGGATAAAACCTTGCTTCACTTACCAGAGGCAGTGTCTTCTAGAAAATATTGCTGACTTTATTACAAGCATACAACGTGCAAGGCCACAGGCTATGACAAGGGAAGTTTAACCCATGTGGCTTCAGTTTTCAGTGGACAATCCTTTCTCTTCCAGTTCATTACTAAAACTTATCCTTCCCCACCCCTGTCAAATCTATGTTACCAGTGAATTTTCACATCTGCATACACAAAAGAAACCCATTACTCAAGCCTTTTCCACTCCACTGGTCTAAGGCTGAGTGGACTCAAGAAGCAGAGAAGTAAATGTGAGCATTCAAACTGGCAACAGGACGGCAGCTCAGACTGTGCTGTCTGGGGCAAAGAGCTGGGGAGAACGACAGGAAGAGCAGAAACGTGAGCTGGGCAGTGGTGGCGCACACCTTGAATCCCAGCACTTGGGAGGCAGAGGCAGGTGGATATCTGTGAGTTCAAGACCAGCGTAGTCTACAAACTGAGTTCCAAGACAGCCAGGCTGTTACACAAAGAAACCCTGTCTCAGGAGGGGAAGAAGAAACAAAGCTGGGCTATGACAGCAGAATTCAAGAAGAGAATTAAAAAGTAAAGATTAGAGAAAAAAGGTATAAAAAGATACTGTATTAAATAACTCACTCTAAATCTACCACCTTCCTGGTTGTCCATTCTTGCTTCTAAATAAACACCCTCTGAGCTGAGGAGAGGGCTCAGTGGGGAAAGGAAGAATAAAGCGCTTGTTGTACAAGCCTAAGGAACTGAGCTCAATCCCCAGCATCCAGGTAGAAAGTGGAGAGTGTCAATGTAGTCTACAGCCCCAGAGCTGGGAGGTGAACAGGCAGGTCCTAGGGGCAGCGGGTCTGGCTGGAACAGCAAGCTCTGAGTTCAGTAAGAAACAATGAATCGGAAATGAGGTGTGAAATCTACTGAGGATGACATACCAATCCCAAACTCTGGCTCACAGAGATATAAGTGCACAGACAAGCACACACACACACACACACACACACACACACACACACTTTCCAAATGCTTCAAAAAGATATTTTCTTTACAAAAAACTACCTGGCTCATCATCATTTCTGTTATTTTTTTACTCTTACTCAGACCTTGACATTTTGCTGCTAAATCCCAAATATCATTTTGTTCCGTTACACTCCATTCTAGAATTCCAGCAGGAAAAAAGCAACTAAGCCAGCTGTGGTGGTCTGAATAAAAATTGCCCCCATAGACTCACAGGAAGAGGAATTATATACGCCAGCGTCAATTAAATGGTTTCCTTTATAAGTGTTATCTTCGTTATGATGTTTCTTTACAGCAAAAGAAACGCTAAGACAGAAGTTGGTACCAGGAGTGGGGTATTCCTGTGATCAGCCTGACAATATTTTTGCCTTGAGGAATATGTAACACTTGGACTCTGGACTCAAAAAGTGATTGGACATTTTAAGTGGGGCTTAGCGGGCCATACTAGTAGAAGAATGGAAGACAATGGTGCTGAGGGTGATATGAACTATGGGGGCTAGCTCAAGAGGTTTCAGAGGACAAGAATTTTAGTATGTGGCCTAGAGATTGTTTTGTGATATTTTGGTGAAGAATGTGGCTGTTTTCTGCCCTTGACCAAAAACTCTGCCTGAGGCTAAATTAATGAATTATGGATTAACAGTTTGGCAGAGGAGGACATTTCCACACAAATTAGCATTACCATGTTGTGTGGCTATTAGTGGCTAGTCTTATGTAGATCTATAATGAAAAGGACAAGTTAAACAAGAAAAAATACAAAATGTGAAGTTGAAGGAGAAAAGCAGCACCAGGACGTGTAAACAGATAAAAAAAAAGCCTGATGCTTAATGGAATACAGGGAGTGGTAACCTCAGAACAAGACCCTGCCTAGCTAAGCTTCCAACATGTGAACAGTGAAAAGGAATTAAAGAAAAGCTTAGGGTCAGGTGTGGTGGCACACACCTTTAATCCTAATACTGGGGAAGCAGAGGCAGATGGGTTTAAGAGTCCAAAGCCAGCCTGGAATACAGAGTAAGTTCCAGAACAGTAAACTTAGATAGTGAAGGAAAGTATTGAAAACTGAAAGCTGGTGAAAATGTATTTGAACAAAGGGGATAATTGTTTGAACTTGGCAGTTCTTGGTTGCACAGTTCTGGTTTTAGAGTTAAGCATAGAAGAAATGGGTATGGATCTCCCTTCTCGATTAAGGAAAGGTGCTGAAGCCAGGCATGCCAGGGTATCCCTATATGGAAGTCTAGAAAGGCCATTGTGTGAAGCTGTAAAGGTGAAGCCTGGATTGCCTTGGAAACCCCAAGATGTAGGAGATGCCAGAGCTGTAAGATACCTGCCAAGAAAGGTGCTAACAGGAAGCAGAACCAGCCCAAGAGAAAACAATGTGATAGAGTCAACAAAGCTGAAAAGATTTGAAGAGCACTTTGGCATCATGCATGGAAATGTGGAGTTTGGAGTTTACCAGCTGGTTTTCAGTCTTACTGTGGTCCCGTATTTCCTCACTATACTACCTTTCCTCCATTTTGGAATGGGAATGTATATCCTGTGCCACTGCATGTTACACATATGTAATCTACATTTTTTAAAAAAATTTGATTTTTACATGGGCTTATAGTTAAGAGATTGCCATGAGTATCACAGACTTTGGACTGTGGACTTTCAGACATAGTTGAGACTGTGAAAGACTACAGGACTTTTGAAGTTGGACTAAACGCACTTTGCACTATGATGCAGCTACAAGCCTATGGGGGCTAGGGCATGGAATACAGCGGTCTGAATGAAAATGGCATCCACAGACTGATAGGATAGGGCATTATTGAAGATGTGACCTTGTTGGGGGAGTGGGCTTTGAGGTTTTAGATGCTAAATCCAGGTCTGGCATGGTGATCTCTTTCTATTGTCTGATCCTCTCTTCCTACTGTCTGTCCACCCAGATGTAGAACTCAGCTACCTCTCCAGAATCATGTCTGTCTGAGTGCTGCCCTGCTTCCTGCCACGATGACAATGAACTAAACCTTTGAACTGTAAGCCAGCCCCAATTAAATGTCCTCCGTTATAAGAGTTGCTGTGGTCATGGAGTCTCTGCACAGCAATAGAAACCATAAGACACCAGATTCCAGAGCCACAGCACTAAATTACCCCTCCTTGTCCTCATTTCTCAGTCCCTAGAGTTGCTAACCATACTTATAACTCAAGTCTAGGTTCCATAATGGATTAAGTGTGAGACTAGAGTTGAATTACATGACTTTTATTTTAGCCATTCAGTAATTTAGACTGTAAAAAGAACAGAGGAAAAGTCAAAAAAGCTGTGAGGATCAACCCACCGTAGTCACAGGGGAGGAGCTAAACAGGTGCAGGGGAGTGGAGGACTAGAACAGTAAGGAGGTCAGTAGGTGGGGAAAGTACCCAACAAGACCTTATTCCTGGGAAAGTATGAGGGATGGGATTCAGAACAGAGGCGGAGGATGCACCTTAGTAAGAGGAGGGTGTATCAGCACAACTACCTGGAACTCAATATTAAGTTGTATTCAACAGTTACTTGATTTGGTTATTAAGTATTGCATACATGTACTGGAGAATCATACTGAGACTAAAACAGCTATAAAAATATTGGGTCAATTAAAAAATAACCCAAAAGCTTATTTTTTGGAAGAGGGTCTCATCGTACAGTTCAGACTGGCCTGAAACTCATTATGTAACCCAGGAGGTAAGCTTGTGATACTCCTCCTGCCTCAGCTTCCCAGAAGCTAGAATTATAGGTTTAAACTACCATGCTGATCTTTAAAAGAAAATTTAAAGTTTATTTAAATTGATTTTTAAACAACTCTAAGCTACACTAGATGGTCTATCTGTGCAGAAATAAAATCAAATTCTTAGAGCATATTTAGAACCAAAGAAGGATTTATTAATAGTATCTATTGAAGTGAAAACACTTCAGAAACAAACATGAGGTCTGCCACCCACTTCTACTAAATGTGTTCTCTTTGTCATTTTAACTTTCACACATCTCTTTAGATATTTCTGACGTCATAAGCTTAAATGGCATAGAACAAAAAGGCACTGAGTCACAGAACTCTATCTGCAGGGTATAAACTACACATTGGGAAGAGAGCAAACCAGGGTCTTAAATCTGAAAGGTTTGCAATTCAACTATCATCGCCACAGTCAGAGAAACGATGCTACAGCAGAATCCCAGGGAACTGGAGAGCAATGCAACGCCATGGATCAGCCATGTCAGGGAGACGGGCTTTAAAAGGAGGAGTAAACCGTTATCCCTGGGGGCGATTCAATCAGGAATGATTCAGGCTTTAGCCAGATCTTCAGGGGTAACTGCAACAGGCACCAATTCCCAGCTCTTCAGCCAGTCCAGTTATGTGTTCTTGGGGTGATCCCGAAGTAAACAAGTCTAAAATGGTGGGTGTCAGAACCGCTCTTCACCAGACGGCTGACTTCCCCCATCCTACTCAGAACTGGCTGACAGCCTGACCCATCTGGAGGTGGAGGAAGAGTCAAACTACACTGATGCGAGACCCCAGGTGAGTCCCTTGGAGGAGCTGTCTCTCCTGCACCATGGAGATAAGGGACGACTTAATTTTATCACAGGAAAGGGCATTACCTGAGCTTCTTGACAGGCTGCTCTTCTTAGCAGGTTATCACTATCAAAGCAAACAAAAGAGACCCAGCATTAGCACTGCTAGAGATTAAGACCCAAACTGAATTGGTAGGTTCTTAGGTTGGGGAGGTACCTATAGTGAAGATTTCTTAAAGACCTGATAGCAAATCAGAAGCATATTAGGGAAATACATTCTGAGGGAAAGCTTCTGCTAGCTATTCCCACATTCTGGTGGACAGAACAATGGCCTAGACCCCGAAACACCTACAGCCCAATTTCCAGAACCTGAAGATCTGTGACCCCGCAAAGCAACAGGAAAATGCAGGGAAATTGAGGACTTCAGGACAGGGAGGACATCTTGCATTATCCCTCAGGTCTGTTAGGCAGAGCAGCCTTTCTGACCATGGTCAGAACACACATGACTCTGGGAGGGTGGTCACTTGCTGCTTTAAAGATGGAAGGGGCTATGAGCCCGGGAATGTTGTGAACCTGGAAAAGTTAGGAAGCAGCTTCTCCCCTGAGAGCCTCAGGAGGAATGGCAGGCCTATCAACCCTTGGACTTTAGCCCATAAAATAGTAAGATAAACATCAATGGTTTGTTAAACTGTAAGTTATTAGGTAACAATAGGAAACAAATAGACGTGTCTTGTATTTTCTTATCCAAAGGATACTACTCAGGTCATTTGCCAAAGCTAAATTTGATGTTTAGCTGCTTCTACTACTATTTTATCTAAGTCCCCTATTTTTTATATCACTATCAGATACTCTATTATATCACAAATGGAAATAAGAGGCAACAGTTTGGCTTCCAAAAATGAAAACATTTTATCAGAATGCAGGCATGTGTTTGATTACAGAAAGTTCTCCACAATGTGTGGTGAGAGCACATTCCATGGCTCTGATGCCTGCAGAGGCCAGTCTTCAAAACCTGCACTTCCACACTTCCTATTGCTAAGGAAATAACTGAAGGGTAAAACCAAACATGACTGTTCTAAAAAAAATAAACAAAACCATTCTTAATAATACTCTGCTGTACTCATAGATCTGTCGGTGCCTTATCCAGACATCAGAGAGGTCTCCTCCTACAGCAGATGGGAACAGATGCAGGGACCCCCCCCCCCCCAGCCAGAAATTATGTGGAAAGAGAGTGGAAACTTGAGGTCTCCATCAGATCCTTCCGCCAAAGCTCAGGGAATCCTGGAGAAGAGGAGGCCAAAAGAGTAGATGGAGGGAAGAGAGGACACCAGGAGAACAAGGCCGTCTGAATCAACTGAGCAAGGCACATATGAACTCACAGAGACTGAAGCAACAATTACAGGGTCTACATGGGTCTGCACCAGGTCCTCTGTATATATACTACAGCTATTAGCTTAATATTTTTATGGAACTCCTGAAAGTGAGAACAAGTGGGTCTCTGACTATTTTGCCTATTCATGGACTCTTTTCCCCCTGTTGGGTTGCCATGTTCAATTTTAATATGATAGTTTTTGCTTTATTTTATTACATTTTATTTTGTTAAGTTTGTTGTTATTTGTTAGAGGTCTGTTCTTTTCTAATGAGAGACAGAAACAGAGTAATGAAAGGAGAGAGGAGGTAGGAAGAACTGGGAGGAGTAGAGAGAGGGGAACTACAATCAGGATATATTGTATGAAGAAAGAATCTGTTTTCAATAAAAGAAAGATATATAAAAAAGGAAAGGAAAGAAAGACAAGGTAAAGGCTCTGGTGGAGAAATAATTGAGGAAAAGGGTTAAGTTTTCCTTATATTCATCATTTCCTTTGAAGTTGCTTTATACTTCTTGATTTTGTGTTCAGAACTCCAAGATTTTGGTCATTTTCTCTCTCCCCAGATTTATGATTTAAATGTGAACTATCTCTAATGGGTCCATTTTTCAGACACTCAGTCCCCAGCATGGGGTGCTGTTTTGAAAGTTACAGTGCTGAGGTTCACCATGGGCTCAGCCTTTTTGTTCCAACTGCCTTCTCTTGCCTTCTGATAATGAAAATTTGCTAGTATTTACTCCTGCTAAACCCACAGCACAGACTCTTGCAGACAGTGGGAACTCAATGAATACTTGTTAATAAGTAAGTGGCAAATGTTTGGACAGGAAAATTGACTCACTGGGCTTGAAAGGCACACTTTATGCTTCAAGGGAAACTGATGGTTACTCTTGTATGAGTATCTGGCAATCCTGAACCAGCAGATTAACCGAGACAGATCTGCAGTGTAGCCAAGGGCAAGGATGAAAACCCACACTCAGGGTTACGCTGCCAGGTCAGGACCTCAGACTGTGTGAGCATGTACATGCAGCACCGTATGCACTAGGACTCTTCAAAACCAAAGCAGGGAATTCTGACCTGATACCACGGAGCCCAAGAACTGTTCTAGTGTCAGAGAATTCCAGATACCTAATGGATCTAGAGTCTGAATGTGAGCTAGAGACTTACAGAAAACAGACTGTACATCAACTGACAGCCCATGCTCTGTCTATACAGCAAGGTACCTCCTAGGCACTAATAGTAAATACAATTTACAAGAGGTGCTCCAAAATGTAGTCATATCAGGAAGGGGCCTGAAGACATACTCAGAAGCAAAATGGAGGCTCTTTGACAGAAATGAATTAGAAGCTTCTGGATTAGAAAACAGAACTGGGTGGTGGTGCAAGCCTTTAATCCCTGCACTCAGGAGGTAAAGGCAGGAAGAGGTGGATCTCTGTGAGTTCAAGGCCAGCCTAATTTACAGAGTGAGCTCCAGGATCGGTTCCAAAGCTACAAAGAAACCCTGATTTGAAAAACCCAAAGGAAAGAAGGAAGGAAGGAAGGAAGGAAGGAAGAAAGGAAAAAAGTCAGCTGATCTTATTGCCTGAGGCTTAAGAAAATATGAACTTGCCTGCTACTACAGGTAATAGGATACTTTTTACATAAATGCTTTATTTATTACTTTAGAACTGCAAAATACGATAAGTTGTTACTTCAATAACAGCATTACATGGAGAGAAGACTTACATTGATCCATCTTATTTCCCAAAAAGAGTATTTCTCACTACAGTTAGAGGCAAATTGTTCAGCAATTTCTACCACCAGTTTCCCCTTGGTGCATGCAAACACTGTCTTTGCCTTGCACAAAACAGATTTCAAGTTTAGATGTTTACAGCGACCATGGAGACTTACTCAGGCTTCCTAAAATAATTAGTCATCACATTGCCAGGGGCTCCGCTCACTGGTGGTCAATGGAGAAGGAGGGATAGGAAAAAAATGGCAGCAAAGCTACAAGTGACTCTTGCAAAGTGACTACGGAGGGGAAGCCATTTCCAACTACACATTTCAGCCTCTTCCGCATGCCCAGATACCTTCCAGACAGGTAAAGACTGCGCAGGGGCCTCAGCTGCATGGGAGAAAACAATGGCCACAGCACTTCTGCCGAAGAGACAGACCTCGACCCAGCAGAGGGAAGTGCAGCCTGCTGGGAAGAATGTCCAATCTTTCCTTCCTAAAGTATGTCCAGTTCTTTTGGGATCAGAAAAAAATGGTCAATGTGACAGGTTAGAAAACCAGGGTGACAATCCAAATGTTAAAGATTCTTGAAAGGATACGGGATCCTTCACTCTAGTATTTCTGTTTTCATGGACATCAGCTTTCCTTGTTCCCTGGCCTCTCTATGATGGACACCAAAAAAAAATTATATTATCTCAATTCTCTCAAGCACAAAATGAGAAAGAAATTTCCTAAAATCCTGAAAACATAAGAAAGGAAAATATTCTATGGATTAATAATATACTAAGTGGCAACTGTGTATATTTCAATGCCATGAAAGTATATGAGTGTGTATACACACACACACACACACACACACACACACACACACGTACTTATTCCTAGTCTGCAGTCATGACACAGCCACAGAAGAAGTAAGATGTGACTGCCTCAATAATAAGGTACCCAGCCACGTGGCTAGCATAGACAAGAATAGGCTAATAAAAGAGTTAATAAGAAGCCTGAGCTAATGGGCCAATCAATTTATAACTAATGTAGACCTCTGTGTAATGTCTTTGGGACTTAACGATTACGGGAACTGAGCAGGACAGAAACCCCAGCAACAAATGGCACCAACATGGACAACTGCATCTACATAAAGCCTGAGAGAGCATGAGAAGTAATTCTAGACAGAAAAGAATAGAGTAAAAGCATGGCTTATTGATAGCAGCAATTCTTCAGGTCTGCTCTGCTAGAGGCAAGCACTCTCATTTAAGAGAGGCGTCCTGACTCAGCATTAGCTGCAAAACTTTGCAGCTTTTTTCAGAGGTACAGTTAGGAAACACTTGAATGGTGTTGATGTTGATAGTGGCAGGGAACTTGAAATGCCATAGATTTGTGGCATAAACATGGCTCCAGCTGGTACCTCTACCACGAGGCTGGAATCTCAGAAAGCTAAACTAAAAAATGGGCTGGATCCAGCTGTCAAAGCAACGGCTTTAATCCTATCCACATTGCTTAGCAAATTAAAGACTCATGGTCATAAAAAGAGAGATATACAATAAAGAGAGTTTAAAAGACAAAGAAAACCTCTAAATGGTTTCCAGTGTGTTAAAAATATATACAAGATTTGGAGAGAAAAGAAAAAGGTTAAAGTTCTTAAAATAAAAAAGAAAGAGAGTAGTTGGGTGTGGCGGCACACACCACTAATCCCAACACTTGGGAGACAGAAGCAGGCAGACCTCTGTGAGTTCAAGGTGTGGTAGCACACACTTTTACTCCTAGCACTTGGGAGGCAGAGGCAGGTGGAACTCTGTGAGTTCAAGGACAGCCTAGTCTACAGAGGGAGTTCTGTATAAAAGATATACAGAGAACCTGTCTCAAAAAGCCAAAAATTAAAAGTAAAAATTAAAGAAATAGAGGTTAAAATAAAGACACGTAAAGATGAAAAATACACAGAGTCTGAATACTGTATGTTATTATGCTCTCTTTGAATTTTTTGAATGCTGAGGAAGGAGCAACAGCTGCTAAAAGATATTTGTTTATAAATGCTGCTGAATTAATCCAAGAT